AAAAAAAAAAAAAAGAATATATAAATAACAAATATTTATTCATAAATAATAGAATATAAAAGATTACCGTTATTATTTTCATTGCTATTATTATTTTTATTATTATCACTCCCGTTACATTATTACTATTATTGTATATTTATTTTCTTTGTTATTCTTACATATGCGTACTATTATTTTTATGATAATATAAAAATAAACAACTATTCTTACTAGTATTATTATCATTATTTACTTCCTTTGACACAAATCTATATATACATACAAATATTTGGATCTGTTATTTAAAGAAAAGAGATCAGATTGCAACAACAACAACAACAACAACAACAACAAAAAAATTCATTTACCATAACAAAGATGCCAAGTGAACAAAAGATTCCAAGACCAAAAAATGCTTTCATTTTATTTAGACAACATTACCATAAAATTTTAATTAATGAATGGACAGCAAAAAATATTGCAATTCCTCATAATTCAGAAATTTCAAAGTTGTTAGGGAATAAATGGAAATTAATTTCTGCAAAAGAAAAATTACATTGGGATAATTTAGCTAAACAAGAAAAGATTAATCATGAAAAAAAATTTCCACAATATAAATATAGACCAGTTAGAAAACAAAAGAAAAAGTTTTTACAATTACAGCAACAAATTCAACAGCAACAACAAGCACAACAACAACTTCAACATCATGTTCAACAACAATTACAACAACAACAACAACAACAATCCGTAGGTCAACAACAGATACAAGCACAAGCTCATCATCAATTATCAAGAGGTGGGAATGGAAGAGTTCAATATTATCAAACACTTTCAAATAATTCTCAAAATTCAAACTTAACTGGAATTCCAAGTTCAATAGAAAATGAACAAAAATTATTATATTCTTCATCAATACCAAATTCAATCAATTTTAATGATCCAACTACTCAATTACAAGCTCAAAATTTTTATTATCAACAAAAATCCGGTATGTCAAATAGTGGGAACCCAAATAATATTAACTTATTATTACCCTCAATAGATACTACAAAATTAATGAATCAACAATCATTTCTTGCCCAACCATCAGGCACTCCAGCCGCCACTCAAACACAACAAATGATGGATCATTTTTATAAAATTTAAATGACATTAAAAAAAAATATCTTTTATGATTATCCATTCCTTTCAATATATTCTAACCTCATTCATTCGTTTTTTATTACCTTTCTTTTTTTCTTTTGATAAGAAAACATATTTACTATAGTTAACAAGTATTTGTTAATTATCGTCAGTCGATAAAGACGTAATACCCTTATAATGAAGAAAAAAAAACATACTTTCTATTGATAAAAATAAATATGCAAAAGTAGTGTCAATTTCAGATTTAAAAGGTATAAATAAAGAACGGAAAATATTTCTTTAATACGTTTTCCATATCTTTCAATTTTACAATCAATCATTTGGTATTGGTTTATTTTAGTACATAGACTTAGAGGGTTTTGTTTTTTTTGTAATAAGTTTATTTTATCGTTTATATATGTGTCTCATACATGCCTTTTCTCTGTTTCCAATGTTATTTTAATTTTATTATTTGCTAATATTTTGAACATTTTACGTCATTTTGGTGTTTAGTTTTAAAAATTATGTCAAAATTAAAAATTAATTGAAAATTTGAAACACCAGTTGTATTACTACATATTGAACTATTTATTTTAGATCCTCGGTTCTAGCATTTGATTGACAGCTACTTCATGAGTCTCCTCTTACTTTTTATTTTTATATATCTAATTGTTATTTATGATAAGTACTTATATGTATGCATAGAAAATATATACGTTTTCGTATTCTTTTTAGATAATGACACAAATACTTTTAATATTTTTCTACTCCTAATGTGTATTTGTTGTTCGATTCTGAGTGACAATGACAGTTTCTCTAAATACAATGGTTTTGAGCTATAATGCCATCTTGTTCATCAAACACACTATAATAAGCCATTGTCTCTCTGTTATTACCTGAAGAATTTTTTTCAGTGATAAAGCAGAACGGAGACAGACGCAAGTAAGTGAGAAAATAGCGAGCAGGCGAGAGCGCCAACTGACAGACAAAATTTGGTAAATTTCCTAACTTGATATTGAAATAATAAATACACCGCATACCAAATTTCATGAGTGAAATATTATGACAATATATAGAGAAGATACTAGACATATTGGTAGAAATTCATATACATATAAACTATTTTTTTTGTCTCATAGCATCAATCCCAGAACATTACTACTATTAAGAGTTAAGAGACCCCTTTTCTTTTTATCTTTCCTTGTTTAGTTTCCAATTGCACCATGAACCCTCAAATTTCAAACATTGCGATCATGTTGATCATGTCGCAAGTGTCTCGTCTGTTAGATCTCGCAGACCCAAAGACTTTAATGATTATCCGTTTGCTATATGTTTCTACAAATGTTATAGCGTTTTGTATCTATCAAATGACTAGAAAGAAGATTCTTAAGGAAAATAATTTGAAAATTGTCAAATATATTAAATCTGGTAATTCTTTATTGAAGGAACCTGAAAAATTACAAATTATCACTGTTAGAGATTATGATTTGGATCAAATTCAAAGTTCTATCAATGGTATTTATTCTAGTATTGCTATGATGTTTGTCATGCATGTAGTCATGAAGTATAACAATCCATTGTTTATGCAATTTATTGGACCAGTCAAGGGTGCTTTAGAAAATACTTTAGTCAAGATTAATTTACTTGGTAAAGATGATGATGGTAAGAGACCATTCAAATCAGAACCATTATTTGGTAAGATTCCAACTGGTGATGACATGAGAACTGATAAGAAATCTATTGAACAATTGGAAGTTGCTGGTAACGGTGGTATTAAGTACGAATAGATAGTGCAATTTTTTCTATAGCATTTTTATATAAATATATTTAAATTAATATCCGTATAACTCTACCTTACTTACATCATTTTGGATCTAATAACTTTGCACTTCTTTAATTAAGTAATCCTTTTTTTTTAACTATTAGGCATTCAGCGATATTTTCGATCTTGCAATAAAGTAATAACTTCCTTTTATATTTACTTTATAACACAAGACAAAAGACATCGAGAAAAGGTGTGCATGAAAAAGTATACACACACACATACACACAAACAGGAAAAGGATTGAAGTAATCAAAAAAGATAAATGAATTGCAGCGTACTGGTCCTAGGTGCTGGTGGACTTGGATGCGAGATCCTTAAGAATTTGGTGATGTGCAATGTCTCATCCATTGACATTATAGATATGGATACCATTGAATTGACAAATTTAAATCGACAATTTCTTTTCTCCGATCAGGATATCGGGAAACCAAAGGCTACGACGGCAATTAAATACATTAAGACACATTTTCCAAACTTACCAATTAAATTAAATCCATTGGTTTGTGATTTAACTACTTTAAATAATGAATTTTATGAAAAATTCGATTTTATTATATCTGGATTAGATGCCATCAAACCGAGAAGATTCGTTAATGAAATTATAGCTCAAATAGCTCATAAAACATCATTTGAAAAAGTTATACCCTTCATTGATGGTGGTACAGAGGGATTAAAGGGTCATGTAAAGACTATAATACCTGGTTTTACTGCATGTTGGGAATGTTCAATCAATACATTACCTAAAGGTCAAGATAATTTACCGATGTGTACAATCATTAATAATCCACGAAATTTAAAACATGTTATCGAATATATAATTACAATTATATACCCTTTGGGTTCCATCAAGTGGGAAGAAGATTCTATCGAAGACAATACTGATAAGATATATCAAAATATATTGGATGCATCTTTCAAAAGAGCTAAAGAATTTAATATTGATACAAATGAATTGAATCTTGCGTACGTAATGGGAGTCATCAAAAGAATAATTCCCAGTGTAAGTTCAATGAATGCAATGATTGCAGCTAACACATGTAATGAATTTCTAAAGATTTATCATGACCTAATAGACGTAACTGATTCTGGTAACATCCAGGCAAACAATTTTACCATCCTAAATGGTGCGGATGGTTGTTTCTCCTACAGTTTCCAATATGAAAGACTGACAGATTGTCCCGTATGTTCGAAACTATATTCCTAGATACAACACCAATAAATGGACAGGTAGTCATCATCGTACGCTTCTGTTTGCAAACCATTTAGAGTCACACATACATATAATTAAAAGCATTCTATTAAGGTTGCTCATTATCACTTTGCACGCCATAGTTAAATGTGTTTTCCTACGGCCATTCCCTAACGCGAAAAATAAATCTATTAGTAATCCAAATTCATTCAACTGTTAATCGCCCTCTTTTTTTTTTGGTTTGAGATTTAATTTGATTGATGACCTCTTGGAATCGGATGTTCGTTAATCGCAAAAGTAGTATACTTTTCTTTCAGTTATGCATATATAAAAGGGGAGCAGATATTAAGAAACCCCATAAGTTCATTTTTGTTGGCTTATATCGCACTACTTAGACTAAAGTTGGTGTGTTATATGGTAGAAAACCTACCGAATAGTAAAAATATCGAGACTTAAAGGAAACAAAACAGTATGAGACGTTTAAATTTGAACATTTTCACACATTTGCAAGGAAGATCTGTGATACGAGCTAATAATCTTACAAAACTTACAACTACTAGATTGATGATGAATTCTCTTATTCGCAGAACATATGCAACAAATTTAGAAGAGTTGGGTTCCAGTGAAAAATTGGTAGTACCTAGTAAAATTATAAATAAGATTGATGATTTGAATCTAGGTATTTCTGAAAGAGCAGCTTCTAGGTTGGCTCAAATATATAAAGATTCCCAAGAAGTACTAAAAATAGGCATAGAGAGTGGAGGATGTCACGGATTTCAATATACATTACAGTTGATACCAGAGTCAAAAGTAGACATTACAGCTGGCGTCATGAAAGAACTCGAATTGTCAGAGAAGGAAAACGAAATTAAGGATGAATTCGAAGATGGTGCTGACTCAAAACTGACCATATATGAATTAAATGAGGACACAGGAAAAGTTATCATAGATCCTAAATCGTTGAAAATATTGAACAATACGATATTAACATATACCAAAGAACTTATTGGTTCAAGTTTTAAGATCAGTGGCGGTAGCCTAAAGAGTAGTTGTGGCTGTGGTAGTAGTTTTGATGTGGAGGTTTAACCTATTCATCTATTTATTTATTGGGAAGAGGGAAAAAAATCGCAGCTTTTGCTGAAAATGTAATACTGTGACGCCAAAAGATTAAATGTAAATACCCTTTTTTTTTCCACCATTCCCAAATTTACAACAATAATCATTGCTGTTGCAATATATATACAAATACATACATACATATGTATACACTTAAATATTCCAAAAATTATACCTTCCTTTAGAAATTATTGTCGTTCTTTATGTCACTGTGACCGCTCTCGACTGCATATCCCTTTAAATAGTTACTTTAATGTCTTTCTACTGTTAGGATCGGTTATATACCGAAAGTGGGAAGAAAACAAAAAAGACGCAGAAAACTAAAGGGGCCAAAAAAGGTTATGTAACAATTAAAAACAGTTACTTAATCTTTTTCACAGAACATGTAGATTGAGTGAAGAGAGAGTTGATCATTTAATTGAATGCAACTCGATTTCAAATTGTCCGTTTACAATTGTGTATATAAGCACATTTATCATAGAACAACTTTAAAAGTAAAAGAAAAGTACTATAAAGAAAATGGGTTTTGATGCAGACTCCTTTAAAAAAGGTGTTGTCAGTGTCAGTAAGAAAGGGTTCAGCGGCACGAAGAAAGTAGCTAAAGCAGGATATAGTGCTGGGAAAGGTTCTTACAATAAACATAAAGGGAAAGATCATTCAGAGAATGACCATAGAAAGGAAGAAGAATTTGAAAGAGAACATAACTTGGCATCAAAACATAGCAGCCCTACTTATGGTCCAGAAACTGACACTAGCCATCATGGAGCTCCTACTGCACAATCACAAAGTAAGTTCCAACCAACTACACCGGCATATGGTCAAACCCAATACCAACCAGGTGTAACGCCGACTGCACCCATAGCAAACGGTTACCAACCTGGCGTCACACCAAAGGCACCTATCGCATACGGTTATCAACCCGGAGTTACACCAGTACCATCTCAATCTTCTCCATATCAACCAGGTGTTGCGATATCAACACCCCAAGCTGCTCCTTACCAGCCTGGAGTCTCTGCGTATCAACCAGGCGTAACGCCAGCTGTTCCACAAGTTACACCATATCAACCAGGCGTAACTCCAGCCGCCCCACAAGTCACACCGTATCAACCAGGCGTTTCTCTATACCAACAGGCAGTTCCACCAGGAAGAACTCCAAATTCTACAGCAATTAACACCCCACCTCCTCAATCATTACAAATAACACCAGTTGATATTACTTCGTTACCTCCGCCACCTATACATCATGGCAGGAATGCAATGGTAGTAAATGAACCTGCTGAAGATTCAATTCCAGAAGAGAAGAAAACAATAGATGAAAATGAGAGTAACGAAACTACAAGACCAAATACAAATATTACCAGTGATACTCAGCCTAGTGAAAGGAATTCAACAGTGTCAGACACGTCGAGCAATGAACAGGGAATTACGCAGGAACTGCAATCTAATTTTGAAAGGAATATACCTTCTAATGATCGTATGTCTAGCCACTCTGAACAAAATGAAATAGAACAGAAGCTGTCTACTACAAGTAGCCCTATAAGGAGCCATGGGTCTCGAGTTTCAATGAAGGACCGATTAAACCATTCCTCCAGGCGGGATGATGATAATAATGAATGTAATGAACACACAGATAGGAAAAAAGACAACTATAAAGATACTTTAAACTTTAACAAACATGATAGTTATGATGAACCACGATCAAGGAGAAGAGATGATTATGATGAACCACGATCAAGAAGAAGAGATGATTATGATGAACCACGATCAAGAAGAAGAGATGATTATGATAAACCACGATCAAGAAGAAGAGATGATTATGATGAACCACGATCAAGGAGGAGAGATGATTATAATGAGCCACGATCAAGAAGAAGAGATGACTATGATGAGCCACGATCAAGAAGAAGAGATGACTATGATGAGCCACGGTCAAGAAGAAGAGATGATTATGATGAACCACGATCAAAAAAAGATTACCGTGAAAATATTACAAAACTTGAAAGGAGGGACGAAGAAGATTCTTGTCATAGTAGAAATAGGTACGATAATGATACCATTGATAATGATAATGATAGTTATAGGACGGAAAGCCGAGGAAATACTTTCAATGAAGGTGGGCTTAATAATAGACGTATGCAGAGCCCTTCAAAGGGCTCATCGCACGAACCTATTGATTTTCCTGGAGTAACTTCAAATAATGAAGATAATATGGAACGATATATCGATGAAGAGGAAGATGCACCTCCTTTGCCATCTAGAAACAGGGCTGCTAGTGCAGCGATGAGACATCCTCCTGCAGTTGCTAGGAGTAGAGCCACAAGCGAGTCCCCTAAGCCCATTCCCTCACCAAGAAAAGTCCTATCGGCAACGGCTATGAGCCAATCTAGTTCTGGAGCAACTTCTTCGAGACCGCAGTCCGTTTCACAAACAAGAGGACCCCCACCAGTGGTGCCAAGGAGTCGTAGGAACACTGTTCGTTCCGATGATAATAGCGTTGAAGCTAACCAAACTTCGAACACAATATCGGTCAATAGAGACAATTCAGAGGACAAGAATGTTACGAGAAACGGTTCGCCTACCACTGAGCTTGCAAACGAATTGGCCAATGTGACCTTGAAAAATTCTAAATCACAATCCGATCAAGTGAGTGTGGCCACCAAAAAGCCATTACCACCTCAAATTCCAAAGAAAAAAGAATCACTTAAGGGCAAGCCACCAATTGTTCCCAAAAAGAAGATTGGATTGTCGTATACTTCTAACCATATTAGTAACGAACCTGTTAAAGAGGCTTCTAATAATATTATTAGGGATAACAATGTTGATGACGATGAAGAGAATTTAAGTCCTTTAGAAAGATACAAAAGAAATCTTGCAAAAAATAGTGATTGAACATCACACCTTGCAATTATGCATACTCTTGCTAAAAAAAAAAGAGATAATTCATAAGCCTGCAAACTTCATTATTTGTATACAGATATATTATTTTACATAACGAATAGATATCATGACACAATATACGATGCTTGGTGCAATAAGGTCATTATTTTGTTTTGTTTTTCATAATTTGAAAACAATGATAACTTAAAACGTTTTACATTAATTGAAACAGCATTGGTTCGGGTTTCTGTCGACAATCTCAGTAAAATAATTATAAATAAAAACTTTCATGAAGAAATTCGAGATTCAATGATTGACGACAATAAACATTGCAACTTAAAAAGGGAAAATATTATATATTTACTTTGATAACAAAGCTGCAAATTGTTCAATATTAATTTCACCAGTACCTTTACTTACCTCTTGAATCATTTGATCCAACTCTTCATCAGATAATTCTTCTCCTATGGAACTTAAGACGGCTTTCAATTCGGAGACAGATATCACACCGTCACCATTTGTATCAAATACTCTAAATGCTTCTATTAGTTCCTGTTCTGTATCATTTGAGGATATTTGTTTTGACATAAGAGTTAAAAATTCATTAAATTCAATTTCATTATTACCATCAATATCAATTTCATTAACTAAATCCTGCACTTCATCATCCGTAGGCGATAAACCTAATGATTTCATTACTGATTTAAGCTCGGAAGCAGATATTGATCCGCTATGATCTTTATCAAATAGATCAAATGTCTCCTTGAATTCAGCGATTTGATCAGCGGTAAGAGGTTTTTGCGCCATGTTCAAATTTGTAAAATACCTTGGAAGGGAAATTAAAAGACAGATATATATTCTTTTGACTACTAGGATTCAGTAGTTTATAAATAGTACTCAACAAAGAGATTTAAAACTATAAATATCTTTGAAAATGATATTGTTACTGTTCTTTATTATTGATTCAAATGTATTGTTTTCATCCATCTCTCCATATTTTATTAATAAATTGTAGGTGTTCCTCGCCAAAATTAAAGGGAAATCAATCTCATTCCTTTTTTTCCAGTCATCGCCCAGATTCCTATGTAAAATTTCGTTACCCTGAAGACTTCAAAAATGAAGGATTATGAGTTTTAAACATCGCTGAAGGCACTGTTCATAGTTACTTGAAGGGGAATAATATTGTGTTATTTTAAGTTTCATGATCTATATCTCTATTTATGTGTGTGTATACTATGGAGGTGGTGGCATAACAGACTCCTGAGGAGGTGACTTCTTGGGGAATATCTTCGTGAAACATTCCTCGAGATGTTTTGGAGTATTGTAATTCCTTAGAGTCTTACATTTATCGTTTCCAGGTTCTTCATACGACCAATACTTGTAGTTATCATCTGTATATAGGTCTATGAACTCATGATCTGGTATTAAGTAGTCGAAGCCATCTTCAATATATTCCTTGATCAACCTGTCTTGTACCTTAGAAGAGTATTTTCGCACAATGTTCCATGTAAGAAACGTATTGAACCTACTCATAATCAATTCGTTGTACCCTCCTCCCCCAAGGACAACACAGTGACATTTTGTGAATCTTTCAATCAATTCCAGAATACATTTTGTTAGTCCATGTATACTCAGTTGCCACTCATTGTATTTATCACCTGATAAACCATCTCCGCCACTTTGTATGACAATTATTTGTGGATCATGTTGATCAATTAAAGGTATAATGATCTTATCAACTATAGTTCGCAAGTATGTATCGTTTAATCCGTGTAACATAGGAATATTAACTAAATTTGGAGATTTGTTATTTTTTAGGTCACCAGTGCCAGGGAAGAAACCAGCCTCATACAAATGCAAGGATATCGTCTGAATAAAATTGGAATATTTGAAAGCATTTTCTACACCATCACCATGATGAAGATCAAAGTCTACATAACTGATCCTTTGAAATCCTTTCTTACGCAATCTTTGTATTAGTAAGACTATATCATTAACGTAACAAAATCCACTAGCTCTTTGTTTAGAAGCATGGTGTCTCCCACCATCCCAATTTATGCCAATAATTCTTTCAGAATTATTTTGATCTGGTGATGGAAGGTTGATATGATTCTCCAATGCGAGGGTGGCACCAGTGCTTACTTGGATATACATTGGTAAATACGAAAACAACGGACAATCACCCGTTAAGTTAAATGTTTTTAATAATTCATCATTACTTAATGTAACACTCTCCAATTTCATTCTTTTTGTCAACCGAATATTATCATAAGAATCATTCTTGATATTTTGATCAAATTCAATTGTCTTAAAATGTTCATATAAATCTTCTCTTGAATGGAATCTCTTCTCTGAACGAAACTTATCGCCGGAATCATACCAATGTTCACTAGTTTCATTCAATTGATCCCAATCGTCTTCACTTTTATCATAATCTTGCACGGCGTTAAGGGTACCTTTCATTAGTTGATCCACATATATCGCGGAATGGAAACGTAAAAGGTCTTCTTTAGAACAATATGGCTTATCGATCACCACATCAAAATATTGCAGTAAATTATAAGCTTGCAGTAATGAATATGTGAGTTGAGATTTCTTATAACCATTGCATGGTAGTAAGTCCGCAACTTGCGATTGAAACACAGATGATGATATAATTAACTTTGTCATTACAGTGAAGTATTTTCAACTTCAAGCATAAACAGAATACTCAATAAATGACATTTCAGTTAGTGTTTCTTTAAACAATCATCAGAATTGTCATCCGATGGCTCCTCTTACTGAAGGCTCTAGGTTCTCGAGCTTTTTTTTTTAAGTGATGTATTATTACGATGTTCCCTTTTGTTTTTTTCTGTTCTCTGTATCGAAATCTCAATACAATAAATAAGAAGTATTTGCGAGACAATGAAAAAAGGAATACGTCAATATAAACATTTCAAAATTGAAAGGTAGTGTAAAAGATAGCACTAGCGTAAGATATATTCGACGTGTGGTGTGCAAATTAATGTTTATTTATTAGTTGAACATTAGTTTCCAAATATAAATAGTGGTTTTACTGAGATTTACAACAAAATAAGAACTGGTCAAGAACAAGAAAAGAATGGTTGCAGATAAATACACTGATACTCTTAATGAGATGATCACGTTGCTCAAGAACTACAAACCAGGGACAGTAACATTGGACAACATTACCAAATTATGCCAAACTCTTGGATTAGAATCATTCATCGATGATGTGGATAATGAGGTGGCCAGATTATCTACAGCTTCAAAGATAATAGTCATCGATATCGATTTTATTAAATCAGAAGGGAAAGTTAAAGATGTTAAACTGGTATTGGCATCTAATTTTGATAATTTCAATTATTTTGAAAATAAGAACTCCGTGGAATCAGATTTACAGACTCAAGATAAAGAAAATAATATATTGTTGAAATCTTTAATAGATTATCCAAATTTAAATGAATTTCATGAAAATTTAGAATTCTTATACTTATTAGATTCTTATTCTCAACTCGATGTTGAGTCTAATAACTCTTTACATGGTTCTAGTAGTTTACATAGTAATACTAATAATCATTCAGATTCTAATAATAATTTAGTTACTGGTAATTTATCGAATGGATTAAATAATTCACCAGCTGGATCAAATAACAATAATAATAATAACAACAATAATACTAATAATAATACTAATAACAACAGTAATAACAACAGCAACAACAACAATAATGTAAATGGTAATAACAATAATAACACCAATGTAAGTAATAATAACAATAATAATAGTAGTAGTAGTAATGGAAATACACAGCTGGAGAAAAATAAATTAGATCTATTCAGGTACTATACTGAATTGAGTCAATACATTCAAGACTATTTAAAGGATCACACTATGAAATGGAATGTTGCAACTAATCTAGATAGTAAATTCGGTATATATATTATGACTGCAGATGCAGAACCTAATGTCGTGGCCAAGATAACATTCAAGAAATCATCAGATCCACAGCATAGGCTATATGAATATATATATTCTAAAGACACGAAAGAATGGATCAATGAATCTGCCGAGTCCTATACAATGGGTGTCTCATTGGTTATGGAAATTATATCTGGTTCCACATGGTTCCCCAAGACATTTATCTCTAAGGATGTGATATTTGATAATAATGGTCAAACTACAAAATTTAAACCAACTTCAATAAATGATTCAAATGATAAATACTCAAATTCATTGAGATCTTTCCAAGATCCGTCAAAATTGTTAAAATTATTAACTAATTTAGAGGATGGTTCTCATCCTTCCAATGGTAATGAATTATACTATCATGAGAAAATACAATTAATTAATGATTTTACAAGTCCATTGATAAAAGTACCGTTTTTTGATATCAGTAATGATAATATTGATTTAATTGATGAAGTATTAACTTGGACATTATGGTCTAAAAAAGTACTAGAAAACATCGTTGAATTAATGATAATTCAAAAGAATGATACACATCTGTATAATGATAATCATAAGAATAATTCAGTAATTCCAAATGTACATTCTGATATGGATAACAATTCAAATACAACAATTGGATTTAATTCAATTGATCATTATAGACATAATAGTGTAGCTGGTGTTAGTATGACCCCAACTACAACTATCAGAAGAAGACGATCTTCAAATAAAGGGAAAAGACCTAGTATCACTGAAGCAACAATGTTCAAAGATGAAGGATTACAACAATTCAACTTACATGATGTAATGTCTGAACAATATCCAGTTATTACTGAAGAAGATAATGACGATAATATGACACAGGGACCAAATAATGAATCAATAACAAGTAACAATAATACTGATAATAATACCGATAATAACGATCATGCCGTTGATTCTACCAAGGATGCACTTGCTATGGAAGATGACAGTCGGATGGATATTGATACAATGGAATTAGGTAATGACATTGAAGATACCCGGGAGATGAAAGAAGAAGACGACGCTTCAGAACAAGAGCCTATACCATTAATTATCAGTGAGGACTATATAACTCTGGGAGATATTGCCAGTTGTAACCTATATGAACCAGTTTCTCAGTGGGAAACCTTTATAACAAGTTTCCGCCAAACGATTTAGATCCCGAGGAAATGCATGTTTGTTGTTTTATATACCATATATATACATCTATACACTACATACTAAATTTCCGTTAAATCTGTAATCAAGCACAAATTCTATAACTGGTATCGAAACATATGTATGTAATTAACATTACTGATAACTCCGAATTACAGTTACCTAACCTTGTCCACATACCCTTTGGATCGAGCTTAAACCTTACTCACCCGCACACCTCACTATAAACGATACCCACACACGCACACACAGAAATTCGAAAGATTTTAAAAAAAAACAGAAAAAAAACGAAAAATTTTCAGCAAAAAAATTTTCTTCGTCTTTTTCATCAGCGGAGAGAAAGAAAATTTTAGCGATGCGCGATGTGATGAGAAAAGAGAGAAAAAAATGAATTTATTAAATTCTGTGCTCTTTCCTTTTTTTCACGGCAGGCACTACTGATGTTTCTGGGGCTCATCGCAAAAGTTTTTTTTTTTTCAGTTTCCAGGTTATTTAGTACTGTAAAGGGGATTTCAGTATGTAAAAGGTTCTGCTCTTCCCTTAGAGAAAGTGAAAATTTTCATCAATGGATTATAGTTTCTCTTTTTTTGTCACTTTCAAGTAACGATTAGCATCACTTATATATATATAATAAAGCATAGTTATTTAAGTTTATTGAAAATTTATATCTATTTCATAATTGTTACTTCCTTTCCGTTTCATTATATTTCTTGTTGTTCTCATTTTTCTTATATTAGATTCCAGAACCTCAGTATACTCTCTTATTTCAATACCAGATTATATACATATAGATTACAGAGATGGCCAAGACTACTTCCAAGAAAGACGCTAAGCTAGCTAAGAAGGCTGCTGCTGAAGAAAAGGCTGCTGCCACTTCTTCTTCCGAAGAATCCTCCTCTTCCTCTTCTTCCTCTTCTTCTGAATCCAGCTCTGATTCCAGCTCTGATTCTGAATCCTCTTCATCCGATTCTGAATCTTCTTCTTCTGACTCTGAAGAAGAAACTAAGAAGGAAGAAACTAAGAAGGAAGAATCCTCTTCTTCCGACTCTGAATCTTCTTCATCTTCTTCCGACTCCTCTTCATCTGATTCTGAATCCGATGCTGAAGAAGAAGAATCTAACGATAAAAAGCGTAAAGCTGAAGATGATGAAGAATCTGAAGAATCCGAAGATTCTGATGCTAAGAAACAAAAGACTGAAGAACCTGCTGAAGGTGATGCTGATGAAGAACCAGCTACCATCTTCGTTGGTAGACTATCTTGGTCCATTGACGGTGATTGGTTAAAGAGCGAATTCGAACACATTGGTGGTGTTATCGCTGCTAGAGTTATCTACGAAAGAGGTACCGACAGATCTAAGGGTTACGGTTACGTTGATTTCAAGAATAAGACTTTTGCCGAAAAAGCTGTTAAAGAAATGCAAGGTAAAGAAATTGATGGTCGTGAAATTAACTGTGACATGTCAAACTCTAAACCAGCTACTAACAACAATGGTGGTGACCGTGCTAGAAAATTCGGTGATGTTCCAAGTGAACCATCCGACACTTTATTCTTAGGTAACTTATCCTTCGGTGCTAACAGAGATGAAATTTCTGATCTTTTCAGTAAGTTCGGTGAAATTGTTTCTGTTCGTTTACCAACTCATCCAGAAACTGAACAACCAAAGGGTTTCGGTTACGTTCAATACGGTAACATCGATGATGCTAAGAAGGCTCTAGAAGCTCTACAAGGTGAATACATTGACAACAGACCAGTCAGATTAGATTACTCTACTCCAAGACCACAAAACGACAGAGGTGGTTTCGGTGGTAACAGAGGTGGTTTCGGTGGCCGTGGTGGCTTTGGTGGCCGTGGTGGTTCCAGAGGTGGTTTCGGTGGCCGTGGTGGTTCCAGAGGTGGCCGTGGTGGTTTCGGTGGTAACAGAGGTGGTTTCAGATCCAGTGGTTCTGGTGCTAACAATGCTCCATTAGGTAAATCTAGAAACACTGCTGACTTCACTGGTACTAAGAAGACCTTTGATTAATTGAATTAGAAGAAATATTTTTTTTTTCTTCCAATAAAACAAAATAAACAAAAATATTCATTTCTTCTCTACACACCCACACACAATTTCCCTCATCTTCCATCTACTCCAGTTCGGATATGTATATACACTATTTACATAGCACTCGTTATGGGTGTATGTGTGTTTGATAAAATAATTTGACTTTTCTCAAGAGAGCTGTTTGGAGATTTTCCCTTAAACATCCTTTTTATTTTATCTTTCACACACATCCATTTTATTATATTATTTGTATATTAGGCATTTAAATAAAAAAAAATAGAAATAAGCAATTTCAGAAATAATCACAAGGAGTTTATATATAGAATAGAGATACGTTTAAGGGATAGTAACTATTTCTGGTATAGATAATGATCCCATCTTTGCAAGTTTCATATATGTATGTAGGCTAGTCAATATATATATTTGTATGACTATGATGTTATGCGCGTACAGTATTTGAATACAAAAGTAAATATACTGTGTTGTGTTAATTTTTGATGTGTGCGTTGTTCTCTTCTCATTAATTTTGTCGTTTGGTAGGGAGACGAGCGTGAGCGTGAGCGAAAAGCGAGAGAGAGACCTGCAAATTGAAAAATTAATTTGATTCTTACATATATTGACTGATCCAGTTTAGATATAAATAAATAAATACTTCAAAGACTTATTTTATTTATGTTATTCTTAGTGTAATATCACGATAAACCACATATCTGTTGATAATAGGAACAACAAGGTAATATAATCATATTATCAATACTAAAATTTGTTTATTTTTAGTTATTTATCATTGACAAATGTCCACTAGTATTCCTGTTAAGAAAGCTCTTGGTGCATTACTTCGTGATCCAGGAAATTCTATATGTGCAGATTGTAAGAGTCAATCACACCCTCGTTGGGCATCTTGGTCTCTGGGTGTCTTTATATGTATTAGATGTGCAGGTGTTCATAGATCCTTAGGTACTCATGTTTCAAAAGTTAAATCAGTTGATTTGGATACTTGGAAAGAAGAACATTTAAAAGAATTGATTCGAATGCAAAATAATATTAATGCAAATTTGTATTATGAATGCCGATTAAACGATGATATTAAAGATAATTTAAAACAATCATTATTAGATACAAATAAATTACAAACTTTCATTAGAGCTAAATATGAAGCTAAAAAATGGATTGGTGAACATATACCAAATAAAAAAGATTTATCCTTACCAAAGAAAGAAAATTTATTAGATGATAGTAGTCATAGTAATAGTAATGCCTTATTAAATGTTAATTCTCCAAATGATTTATTAAGTGACAGTATGAATCAATTAAATATTAACAATACCAATAATACCAATAATAATAGAAATAATAGTAATAATTTAACAAAATTTAGTGGTAACAGTAATAATAATAGTTTAGTTAATTTAGAAAAATTATCATCATCAATATCAAATGGATCAGCATCAAATATTACTAGTAATAATAATAATAATAATAATAATAATAATAATAGTACAAGTTCAAATAATAGTATTAATACAAATAGTAAATTAAATCAAAGACCAGATCTTAAGAAATCAATATTGTCACTTTATTCAAAATCTAATACTAATGTAAGAACTCCAACAAATAATACTAATACTAATATGTCATTATCGTCATTAACATCGTCAACTACAAAATTACAAAATACTAGTAATAATAATAGCAATATTTCAACTACTTGGTCATCTACCCTTAATAATAGTAATAGTACTAGTAATAATAATTCAGCATTATCATTGGATGATAACGAATTATTTAAAAATGTATGGTCATAAACGCATGATACTAAACAAATAAATAAAAATAATACTAATATAATATTATAGAATATATAATTATATATAAATTTAATATAATCAAAAAGGGGAAAACAAAAAAAAAAAGAAGGTATTTATGTATTAAGGACTTCACGGAAGTATAATTTATACAATGACAGAAAACATTGTATAATGTTGAAGAAATATAGTAATGAATATGTATAAAATTTAATTTTTTTAGAACCAATGAAACAGAAAAAAAAATAATTTAATTTAATTAAATTATTTAACTATCAACCTAAATTTGGAACATAATATTTATATCTGTACATTGTAGCTTTATGTGTACCATAATATAATATTAAAAATAATGTATAAATTGAGAGTAATAATTTTAGATCTTGTGTTAGCATTGATAATGGAGTGTTATAGTCCGTTTGGTTGTCGAATTAATGATTTTATATTAACTAATAAAAAGAAATAACAAAATAGTAATTAACGTATGTCAAATTAAATTAAGAATTTGAAGCTTATATATATTAATTGTTAAGTTAGTCAACCTAATAGAATTAATGTAAACTTTGCAAAAACACATTAAATTGAAAACCACGCAAGGGATTCTCCTTCTGGCAACTAAAACTCTCCATTAGGATAGTCATTTCACTAAAAAAGCAAATAGCCTAAATAGATCTACTGCTACTACGTATTATACTGTTGTATAATATAATATAACATAATATATATGTGACAAAAAACAGACAGACAATTATCACGGGATATACGCATATAGCGATATTAATAGCATTAAATTATATCAAATTTATTAGTAAAAATCAGTTGTTGTATTACTAAAATAGATTCAGAAAATCACTCTTCCTGTGACTATTTGATGGCATCGTGCAGTTCATCTTTCACAGACTCAATTACCCAATCGCTCCCTTATTCTTTTTAATAAGCTAAGCGAGATGTTTTATTCTGTCTCTATTCTGGATTTTTTTACTGTGTGTATGTGTACCCTTGAAATATGTTTGTATATGCGTCACTTTATTGAGTGAGTGATATTTTCAACCGATATACTTCTTTTTGGGAAGTATCCACACCAATTGTCTAAGAACGGTATTAATTTATTGTTGTGCACTGGTAGAGGGAAATGCTTGGGTGTGTAACTAGTTTTTTCTTTTCTTTCAGGGACCAACTTCTATTATTTTCATTTTATATGATCTCCCTGGCTTTATTTACTACGTTGACTACGTAAATTATTAACTCGGAGATTGGGTTCCCTGTAGCATATATTTAGTGGGTCGTTATTTAGTTATTTTTTTCTATGCCAAATGTTATTTCTTTCCGTCCTTCCGTTCCGTGTGCGCTTCTTAACGCGGTTTACATATTCCCGCACTGCTAAAACAAAAGACAAAATAATTAAACTTTATAATTTCAGATGTAAGGGAAAGAACACAGCAGTGGTAGTATACTTGTGATAATACAGAGAGAGAGACACACACACAATTAAGTATATGTTTCATACTGCTTCTGTAAAGGTACTTTAGGTATTAGCTCCCTACCTTCTAAGGCCCTTAAAGTCTTCAGAGAGATATAGAGAGGGGAAAATGCGCATATTATTATGTTGTTGGTGTTTTTATAATTTCATTTGGCATCTATTTAACTTTTCCATAATATACCTGTAGAAAGTAAGAAAAAAATATTAACTTCCCTTCAGTGAGAATCAAGAAACGTACAATATGATATTACATGGTTTTTCTTAAAGCAACAATATTTTAACCCCTACGCAAACATCGGACAAACATATTTCTTTGTGCTGTAATCTCCCAGAGTTACAATAAAATTGGTTAACTCAATTTCAAAGTCTGCTTGAATATCTACCGCCTGAAGAATGTTCGACCCGGTTTTCCTAAGTAATTGTCGTAAGAGCAGTATGTGTTTCATAGCTTATATACATATATACCTCTGCATATATACTAGCCGCTGTGAAAGGTCATGTTTGTTTTTTTCGTACTAGTTTATATATGGATAAAGGTCAATTGAATGTTTAAGTATAAGCAATATATAGGTATGTTTCTGAACCGTCATGTGGCTTAACTCCACGGAGTTTATATTGAATCATTTTTATTTGATCGATGACAAGAGCCGTGGATTCATAGATGGTCGGCAAATTATTACTTGCGTATTTATATCAATAAATTAGTACTTTGATGATAAATTATTCTCTTATTTTATTTTTAAAACTACAGACAAAAGCTATAAAAAAATGGACATTATACAGTAAATACTAATTTGTTAATATGAATACACAGTAAACACATTAAAACTTGATAAACAAAAAACTTAACATTTAATGTAATAATATACAAAGTAGCAATATTTTTATTTTTTTTTCGTTGAAAGAAAAACAAACAATTTGCTTATAACTTGTCGTAGTATTCTTGCCAGCCTGGAACTTCTTCCTTCATACCGTGTCTCTTACGGGCAGCAAGAACAATTTCACCAGCCTTGGTAGTTGGGTCCAATGGGTCAGAGTTGATAGTGGCCCAGTGATCGAACACCATTTGTGGGAAAGCTTGACCAGAGGTAGCTTGTCTTAGTTCACCGGAGAAACCGAAAGATTCGTTAACTGGTAAGTAAGCCTTAACAGTGAATAATGGAGTACCTGGTCTTTGTTCTTCAGAGATAACTTGACCTCTCTTCTTGTTTAAGACAGAGTAAATACCACCAACAGCTTGTTCTGGACATTGAATTTCAACTAAGAAAACAGGTTCTTGGATCTTTGGTTCAGCTAATAAGAAACCAGCGTAGGTAGCTCTTCTCATAGTTGGGATAATTTGACCACCACCTCTGTGGATAGCATCAGCATGTAAAGTAACATCTAGAATGTTAACTCTAACGGATCTCATTTCTTCACCGAAAATTGGACCTTCCTTGGTAGCCCATTGGAAAGCAGCGACAACAGAGTCCTTGATTTCGTTCAAGTATTGGACAGCCTTGGTTTGGTCAACAACAACGTTAGCACCGTTACCGTCTGGACCGAAACACCAGATCTTTCTGGCATCAGTGACATCCCATTCGTATTCATCAGCCATGATTCTAGCTCTGGCCTTGATATCATCTCTTGGGTTGATGACACCGTTTTCAATAGCCAAAGAGGTTTCTTCGGTCATTGGTTCAGCCTTCAAGTAGATTCTGTTATGCTTGTTTGGAGACTTAGATAGAGCAGATTGACTAGATTCAGTTTCAACAGTTTCTCTGTAAGCAACAACAGGTGGAGAGATTCTCAATGGAACACCAGCATGGTCGTGTTCCAAATCTTGTAGACAAATTTCCAAATGTAATTCACCAGTACCAGCAACAATATGTTCACCGGATTCAGACATGTAAGTCAAGACACATGGATCGGACTTGGATAATCTCTTTAGACCTTCGACCAACTTTGGTAGATCGTTAGCGTTTTTAACTTCAACAGCAACTTGAACAACTGGAGAGACAGAGAATTTCATGACCTTCATGTTGTGAGCGGTTTCGGAAGTAGTCAAAGTACCGGTCTTTAGTAAGAATTGATCAATACCGACTAAACCGATAATGTTACCAGCTGGACAGTCATCGATTGGTTCGACGAATCTACCCATCATTAGAACAACTCTTTGGATAGCCTTTAGGAAAAGATCTTCCTTCTTACCTGGAACGTAGTTTGGACCTTGGATTCTAACCTTTTGACCAGACTTAACGGTACCAGCGAAAACTCTACCGAAAGCGTAGAATCTACCCTTATCAGAGGTTGGAACCATCTTGGAGACGTAAAGCATTAAGTCAGCAGTTGGGTCACAGTTCTTGATGGCGATACAGTTAGCATCGTCAGCTGGACCTTCGTATAATTGTTCAGCTCTGTAGTTTTGAGCAGTAACTGGGGATGGCAAGTGTAGAATAATCATTTCTAACAAAGCATCGGCAGCTGGCAAGAACTTTCTCATAACAACCTTTAGTAAAGCCTTACCTTCTAGGTCCTTTTCGTCACCCTTTAGACCAATTTCAAGCTTTTCTAGTAAAGTTGGAATTTCATCCTTCTTGAAGTTCATAACAGCAGCGAAGATTCTGAAGATTGGATCTAGAACGAACATGTTGAAAGCTCTGTCTAATGGCTTACCATCAGCATCAGTCTCCTTGTTAGTCCATTTCTTGGTCTTTGGGTTGAAGTAAGAGTCACCCCATAATCTTTCCATCATCTTTTCCTTGTCAACACCGAATTTCTTGGCGTATCTGTTAGCAAATTGACGGATGGTGAAAGCCCAACCATGTAGACCGGAACCGAAAGCAACGGTACCCTTGGATGGGTAAACTTGAACATCACCTAGAACTTCATCAGCGTAAGTGGAGATGATAACGTTAACGGATTCAACGGTTCTGGCGAAAGTTTGGTAAAGATCTTCCTTGGAGACTTGTAATTCCAATAGAGCTCTGTCAACCTTGTTAATAACAACAACAGGCTTAATTCTTTCACCTAGAGCTTGTCTCAAAACGGTTTCAGTTTGGACACAAACACCTTCAATGGTATCGACGACAACTAAAGCACCATCGGTAACACGAAGAGCAGCAGTAACTTCAGAGGAGAAATCAACGTGACCTGGGGAATCGATCAAGTTAATTAAGAAAGAGTTACCTTCGGTCTTTTGCTTAATTTCCTTAACATCTTCTTCAGTCATTTCTGAGAATAAAGAGATGGCAGTAGACTTGATAGTAATACCTCTTTCTTGTTCATCCTTTCTGGTATCGGTGAAACGAGCTTCACCAGCCTTAGCAGCGGAAATAATACCAGCTCTTTGGACTAGAGAATCGGTCAAAGTGGATTTACCATGATCGACGTGAGCAATAACGGACATGTTTCTAACATTAGTAACATGGTCCATTAAGCCACGCATTTGGTCAACAGTGAAAGCAACCATTGTGAATAGTGTGTTATATAATAGTGGTTTTAGTCTATTTTAAAAATTAAGTAAAAAGAGTTTTATAAGAAAAGATAAATTGTAATGAAATAAATTTTAAAAATAAATTACTAATTGTAATATAAGTCAAGTAATAAGACAGAAGGTGTTAACAAATGGGATAATTTAGTATTATTTTACTAGTTTAGTTGGTGCAATTCCAAAGCACAAGGTAACAAAAAAATTGATTAAGTAATGGGAAATGGTCAGTGAAAAATTTTTTTTCGTCAAGTTTTCCAACCTCCCTCTTTTTTTCGTTTGCCTCTCCCTTTCTCGCTCAAATTTTTTTTTTTCATGTGGTTTAATGAGCGTATGCTGTGCTGTTGTGAGTGTCTGGGTGTCTTATACAGACTTGCCTAGTAATAAAAATAATGCCATCTCAATGGGCCGATGATCTAAATTGAGTGCGAAGGGGAATTTTCTGTTCGGTAACTTTTTTATTTTTGGCTGTGCAAAAGGGCATCGCGTTCTGCGAATATTATGGTCTGACTATTGGGACAGTTTTTACACTGAGAGAAGCCCTAAATTTAGGGTTGTCTAGAGTTTAGGGGTTTTACAGTGAAGGTTCCTGCTAGTTGACTGATATATTGTTAGGTAAGATCTATGACTTGCAGTCATTTATGAATGAGGCTTTTACATTGTGGTTTTTATTGGAATTGTCGTATATATGTATGTATATATATTCTTATTTTTAATATGGTAACATCAACTTTTGTGGGGGGCGGGGATTATAGAAGCAACTAACTCCGTGTCATCTTCCATTATATGTCGAGATACCTAACATATGTGCCGCACTTTTGGCATTTAACATGTTAGATTCTCTTGTTGAAGATTCTTCGTCAGGTTTATTACCAGGCAATGCATTACTTTCAATAGTCAACGATTTGTCGAATTCCGTGTGCGACACCGAATTAATTTCTTGTTGACTGTGATGACGTATTTCACCTGTCCAACTATCTCCTCGCGTACTTTGTGATATTTCGTCATGTTTACGTGATACGGTATGTCTTCCAAGACGTGAAAGACCACCTTTCATATCTGCTCGTCTAACTTCTGAACGAACTCTTTCTAATAATGAAAGTTTCTTTCTTTCATATTCAATACGTCTTAAAGTGTATGATTTAATTGATTTGATTAACCATTTTTCATACCAATCAATCCATTGTTTTCGTTCGATTAACATATTTCCAGTAAGTCTTTGTAATTTTAATGTTAAGTTTTGCTCTGTTGTTGTAGCTATCTTTAAACTACGTAATGCATCTTCAACTTTAATTGGATTAGTATCTCTTTTACTTCTTAATTTCCTAGCGGCTTCTTGCTTATTCTTACAATTTTGTTGGGCTTGAGATAAATCTCTCATAACAAAATGTCGATTTGTAAGTGCTTCTTTGACAATATATGAATCTTTAACAACCCATTCAAGTCCATCATATAAAGTTGCCATATCCATAGTAGCAATTATACTATTTATATCACCAACTGCAGTTAATACTTTCCCATATCTTTTATAAAGTCTTTCCTCATTTTCGTTATTAATATTATTACCATTCAATAAACTGAATTTTTGTCCAAATTCATTTTCTTCCTGAACTAGCAACCTTCTTGATTTACTAGCTTTTAATAATTTCTCTTGAACGGTTTGAACTCCAACATATATTGATTTCACCATTGGTCTAAATTCAGCTAATTCTATTACTTCATCATAAGGTGGGGCCAATTGTTTTAATGTTTTCCTCTTTAGGCCACTTACTTGTGCCGTTGTTGAATTGATTGGAATATATGTATTGTAATCACTCTCGATAAAAAAGGCTAATTCTTCATTTCTTAAGATTAATGGATCAAGACATAATCTATTAAACCATTCCTGATAATTACTTACTGTACTATCGTGATCTTCTTCATTGTTGATACCATAGTTTGTATAAGGTGATGGTAATGAGGGAATAAATGATTCTGGGATACTATTATTCAAATATTTAAATAAATTTTGAAACTCTTGAGTAGATTTCCTTAAATTTTTATGTTTTTGTTTACGAAAAGTTGGTATATTTGTTGAACAATTGAATATTATAGTTGGATTTTCTTTCTTATTTGATATTGACCCAACTCTTTCTAACCCAATTACTTTAACAATTAATGTATATTTACCAACATCTTTACGTTCTGGAAGAAGTTTAGCTAGATCAATAGTACGTTCGATTCCTTGTTGTTGTTGTTGTTGTTGTTGTTGTTGTTGTTGTTGTTGTTGTTGTTGTTCTGGAGGTGTAACTATTGCAGAAGTGGCTTCCTGTGAGACATTTGGTTGATTCTCATTTGAATTTGCATCATTTAGATTAGTAGTATTCTGTTCTTCTTCTTCTTCCTCTTCTTCTTCTTCATCATCGTCATCTGGGGGACGTATATGACTTGGTTCTGTTACAGCACTAGAATGTTCTGCAAACGGATTATCAGCTAGTGGATCATGGTCATCATAAGTTATGTTTGACATTATATCGTTATTATGTAAATAAAATTCATAAAATTCAATATAATAATAACAAACTGTGAGTCGGGGAGGGGAGGTAGGAAGTGGGGTTGACTAATACTTGAAAAACAATGCTTAACCCTTAACTAAGAGACAAAGTTTAGAATATTCAAATGTATATGTAGACAAACTCAGCTAAGTTATTACTCTAATCAATTTGCCATATGTATAGATAAAATCCCTATGCTTTAAAACTTAGTTACACACCCTTTTTATCAATTTTTCCTATTTTACACCTACAGAGGACTAAAAATAATATAATCAAAAAAAAAAACAGAGCTTTATCGTGCAGTTCGGTACTTGTTCATTTTGTCTTTTTCGCTTGTTAAAGAAAATTATGAAATTTTTTGATTCTCACTTACAGAAGCTCACAGACAAAAATCATCTCAGAGAAGTCCGGAGAAATTCATTTATTCTATCTCAAGATCAGATAGAATTAAAAAAAAGATAATAGATGAGTAATTGTCATAAAAGTATATATATATATATATATAGATATCAGTTGTAGTATTCGTATACTTACCTAATCAGCAAACGTAAAGTAACTAGTAGGGATTTTGAAGGAAGGGTATTTGCTAATTAGTAATTCTAACCAAAAAAAAAAGCAGAAAGAAAGAAGTTTTGATAATAGATTTTTAGAGATGTCGAAATTTTCAAGTATAAAGCATATGAGATCAATAAAAGCTCTGGTATTTGATATGGATGGTACATTATGTTTACCACAACCATGGATGTTTCCTGCCATGAGGAAAGCAATTGGCCTCGAAGATAAATCTATTGACATCCTTAAATTTATTGATGATATGCCAACAGAAGTTCAAAGGGCTAAAGCTCGTGAAGCCATTCATGGTGTTGAAGAACAAGCTATGATAGAAATGGAACCACAACCAGGTTTAAGGGAATTGATGGGTTACTTGACGACACATTCGTATAGTAAGAGTATATGTACTAGAAATGTAATTACCCCTGTTAATTATTTTGTTTCAAAATTTATTCCTGTTGGATTTAATTTATTTGATTATAGTGTAACAAGAGATTTTAGACCAACTAAACCATATCCTGATCCATTGTTATATATTTCAAGAGAATTGGGGATTGATGCATCAGAAATGATGATGGTTGGAGATTCAATGGATGATATGAGAAGTGGTAGAAGTGCTGGATGCATTACAATATTATTGAAGAATCATGTTAATGGACATATTATGACAGATCATAAAGATTTAGTAGATTATCCAATTGATAATTTATCTGAAATCATTACAATTTTGGAAAAAATAAATATATAATATTTAAAAAATATGAAAATAATAATAATTTGACGCATTCTTTTTCTTTCTTAACAAAACGTTAAAAGAAAACCAAAAACATAAGGATACGTAAAAGACTATACTTTTTCAATGCACTAAAGATTCTTTTTTTCTTATAATGATATATATATAATTTATTTATATTTATTTATCTTTATAGAATGATATGACTAAATGACCAAAAAAACTTGAATTAAAATTTTATAGAAAAAAAACAAAATTATTATTAGAATTAACTATGTTTATTTGTTTGTTGATATATCAATTAATTACCTTAATCGAATAGACCGAAACCCATGTCGTCATCGGATTCTTCCTTAGCTTCTTCTTCAGCAGCTTCACCGGCAGCTTCACCAGCGGCACCAGCAGCAGCAGCAGAGCCACCAACAGCAGCGGAACCAGCAGCTGGAGCAGAGGCAAACTTAGCGGCACCAGCAGCAATGACTTCATCTAAAGAACCCTTACCTTCTAGAGAAGATAGTAGTTCGTTGATTCTGGATTCATCAGCTTCGATACCAACAGATTCGACAACAGTCTTGATGTCGGCAGCAGATGGGGTAGCGTTACCACCTTGGGTAAGTAGCAAGTAAGCGGCTAGGTACTTCATTATTATTTTCTTGATTGATTGATATACTTAAAAAGTGTTAACAAATGGAACAAAAATAATGGCAATTACTAGAAATACACATTCACACTGATATATAAACAAAAATATAAAGATATATTAGCTGTGTCTAACTTGTTAACAAAACAAAAAAGAACGATGGCAGTTTCTCAGTTCACTAATTAAATTGAAAACGAAAAAAAAAAAGAAAAATGCATCGAGATTCGGCAATGAATGCGTCGTGCGCTGAAAATTTTTCGTTTTTTTTTCTCTCTCACTCAATTTTCGGTTTGGTATGTGTGCGTGTGCGTAGGGTCGTTGAAAACGATTTTATGGAATATGTGGTAACGACAGTATATACAAAATTGGTTGATATTATATAAATTACGAAATATGAATATGTGATACTCTGACAATTGATACAATCAATAATTGTCGTCTCTATGTGTTACTTAGAGCAAAGTAACCATTATACCATGACGATGATATTGCAGTTATCCCCTTTTTAGCAGGGTGCTTCACGTTAGACAGGGGAAACCGTATTTCCATCATCGTTATCATTGGTAAAATGACATACACACACTATGCACTACCATCGCAAATCACATTTTGACATTCTAAATCGAACACACTTCACCCTAAATCACAACAATAACAACAGTTTATTTAGTCAATTTGATTAAATTAGTATCTTTCCCATTTCGGGGTGTGGTGATGACCACATTTTTTCAGTTAGGTAAGGGGATCACCGGCTACACTGCACACATACAGACACTGTATTTGTTCCGTAAGCCACTTAAAAAAATACGCAGAACATGCCATTGAAATAGCGTCCGTCCGCTTCTTTACGGTAAAAGCGAAAGAAACCTGAAAAACTGAAAAATTTCAAATTTCAAAAAATTTCGGTGAGCGCAGAGAAAAAGACCACCTGAAGAAATGTTAGTAAAAGGATCTTTTTTTTAGAGTTGTTAGGCAATGTGGCACATTCGACAATTATTATATAATAATTACAATTAAGATATTAATGTTTTGATACAAGTCTTTACATTTCTGTTTCAATTAACTGAAAAATTCTCGTTTAGTCTTGTTTTCTTTTGCAACATAAAGGATAATCGTTTTTCGCTAGAAAATATAGAATATATTAGTATCATCAATTTTGATATTACTAAGAAAGATTTTAAAGCTACATATACATACACCGAATTTGCTTACGTTATAATATATTTTATCCCATTTTTTTTATTTTTATTTTTATTTTTAATTTTATTTTAATATTCAATCATACCAGTTCAATAAACGTTTCTTTTCTCTCATAACAATGTCAAAGGAAGTAAGTAATGGATTTCAATCTGCATTTTGGGATATTTTGTTTGGTTCCATTGCTGGTGCATTAGGTAAAACAATCGAATATCCATTTGATACTATAAAAGTGCGAATGCAAACACAAGGTTACCAAGTATTCCCAACAACATGGTCATGTATTAAATATACTTATGAAAACGAAGGAATTATTAGAGGGTTTTTTCAAGGTATTGGATCACCTTTAATTGGTGCATCTCTAGAACATGCATGTCTATTTTTTTCATATAATCAATGTTTTCAATTTTTATTAAATTTTACAACATTATCAAATTTTTTTATTATTTTAATATCAGGTGCATTTGCTGGTTCATGTACAAGTTTAGTTTTAACACCTGTTGAATTAATTAAATGTCAATTACAAGTATCAAATTTAAGATTACCTTTAGATTCCGAAGAAAGACATACTTCAATATTACCAACAATTAGATCAATTTTAAAAGAAAAAGGTATATGGGGTTTATGGCAAGGTCAATCTGGAACATTTATTAGAGAATCAATTGGTAGTTTAGTTTGGTTTGGTACATTTGAAAATTTTAAATCAATGTTTTTAAATAAATCTAATAGAGAGACAATGTATACGTGGCAACTTTTGATTAGTGGTGCTGCTGCAGGTGTTGCATTTAATGGAAGCATGTTCCCAGTTGATACTATTAAATCAATTATGCAAACTGAACATATGGGTTTTTTTGAAACTGCACACAAAATTCGTAAAGATCATGGTATTGCTGGATTTTATCGTGGTATTACAATAACTTTAATTAGATCTGTTCCTTCTAATGCTATTGTCTTTTATACATATGAGAAATTATCTCAATTTAAAGGATAAAAAAAAAAGAAACGCATAATTACCCAGATACATAGTATATAAATATAAATATATAAATGAATATATATACCGTACTTGCATAGTAACAAATAATATTAATATGATGGGTCTCTCTCTCTTTTTTTTTCTTTCTGTAAGTTGTGGCAATATTTAAATTGAATGAATGCCTTTCAAGTATCTGATACATAAGTGTTTGACTTTAGGTTCAACCCTTTCACTATCAATTCTTCACCATAAAGATACCATTGTGTGCGTGTTACTTAGTTTTTCATCTTTTGGGCTCTTCATCATCGCACTCACTGAACAAATTCAAAATCTGAAAGACCAACCGAAGTACGGAAAAGGGAAACCTTTGAACAATCCGCATAGTAAACGAGCTTCAATTCGAAGAGGGAGCTGTTATTATGATCTTCAAGAACAGATATATATGTTCCTAATAGTTATTTAACTCTAAACTAACCTTTTTTTTCATTTTTTGGAATACAGTTCCTTCATTGTTCCACACCGCTAACTCCTAAGCTTGGTATATTGTGTTAATTCATACATCAATTGAATTTAGTTTCCATTTCTTTTTGATTATCATAATCCACTTTGTTAATATACATATTCAATTGATGATAAGATCACATAACACTAGAACATTGCCAATTGTCCACGGCGATGATAATATCAAATATGTCATATCTGCTGAATTCGATAATAAACAAGGCGCAATATTAAAATATCAGTACCCTAAATGCATCCCCGGATTTAAGACAAATACTCAAGGTGCATATACAACTACAGAAGATGGACACATTTTAAATATTGCTAGTTTAATGATTCCAGATAATGTTGAAAGAAACCCCGGAAAACCAGACTTTACAATGTTTATTTTATATAGGGATACACAAACACAGGAATATAAGTTGTTTCCAACTGTAGAACATCCTACAAATCAATCAAGCAATATTAATGGAGATATACTCTCTGAACAGGATGAAATTGATGCCAATAGTGAAATTTCTGGGAATTCTACGTTAAATATGGACGAATCGGACAATACATTATATTTTTTAAATGTAGTAAATACCGTTATTGATGAATCAAATGAACGTGGTGCTAGCATACAAGCAATTGGTATGGGAACCACCATGAGAAATTTTTTAATATATAAACCTTTAATTGTAATGGTACTTCACTATTATATGACATACCCCAAACAAGATAGATTACAGGTGTTAATTGACTTCTTCGTCATGATTAATTCATTAGATATATCATTATTAAGAACAATACATTCAAGGTTTAGACTTCAAAGGATATTACAATCAGTGACTGACATGGATGTACTTGACACTATATTCGATCCAAGTATGGTAAACTGTTCTAGGATTATGAAATTTGATAAAAATATTAAGGAGGATTCATTTGGAAATGAGCTTATTATACAAAACGGTAAAATAGCCCAATATTTCACCACATTTCATCCAGTAGTTTTATCCGAGTTTCTTTCACAATTACCTTTAAAGGCAAACTTAATTAAGATGGGTCCCATACCTTTAGAATTGAATTATAACAACAAAGTACTAAAATTTCTTTCACTTGTAATCCCTGAAATTAATAAGTTAGAAACTACTTCATTTGTAAGAAAGTTAGTCATAAATTCAACCTATTATTCAAAGGACCTTATTTCCCAATTTGTATTATCATTATCAAACTTATTGGGTGGACATAGTCACGGTAATTCTGTTCCATATTTTAAGGGACATCCAGTTTTGTTTTTTCCATATATGGATATAAGTATGGTTGATGCCTTAAGGAGTCACATTGAACCAGAATCTGACTTTGCGAAGTCTTTCGTAATAATTGGTACAGCAAACCCTATATTTAAATTTCAACCTGATATATGGGATTTTTATTATGATTTAGATAATGAATTATTGTATAATAGTGATCAAGCAGGACAAGAAAAATTAACCTTAAAACAGGAACTGAAAAATGGAACAAGTTCCTTTAAAAAACTACTAGTGAACCCTCATAGTACAACTTTTAGTGCTATCCTAAACAATCTTGATGGCGATTCATCAGATTTACATTTCAAGAATAAAACTGGTTTAACGTTGAAATTTGTACAATATTTACAAGATGGTATGCATAATAATGAAACAATAATGAGTGCTTTTAGAAGAATCTGTATTTTACAAATAATCGCTCTCTTACCATCTGATAATAATAAAATAAAACCCTTCACATCAAAGAAGGATTCAAATAACGAACTTTCTTTCAAAGATGAGTACATACACAATTATAGAGATTTTGTATTTTTTCCCCATTATTTTCAATATTCGAATATCCAAATAATCAAACAAATGAATACATTAGTGCTTACTTTAGATAATTTGAAGTCGCTTGATTTACCAGTAACATCTACGGAGAAAATATATTCCGAAATATCGATAATATATGAGATAATTAAGAATTTCTTTATTACCGTTTGTGCAAATAAACAAAATTTAGATCATTTCATAGATATCCTTTTGAATTTTCCAGATTTACAATTGAGTACTACATTTAATCTAAGAACACAAGATTTTAACAGATTAGATTTAGAGAAAATATATAAATCTAATAAACAAACAAACTATGATGGCAATTCGAATGAGTCGTTAGGATTCGTGGACAATTTTATTAAAGTAAATGGGTTCGAGTATATTGCAACATTCCTTTCATTTAGCATCAACAATACTAATACTCTATTTTCTCCCTCGTTACATCTAAAATATAAATCCACCATTGGACGTTCAAGATCACTTAAAAATATTTTTTCACTAAACCAAATAACATCATCAAATTCCCACCTGGACCACTCATCTCCTGGAGGATCACCCAAGAAAAGAAACACTATTTCTAATCCTAACAAAAATGTTGTCGGTGGCTCAATTGTACTAGAAAAGAGAATCGCTAAAATAAAGCGTGTAATTACGAAATTGTTAATTAAAATAGAGAGACATCCTATTGGAACCATATTACTGGAAAAATATTTATCAAAACAATCAAGTGCACTTTTCACTAGTTTAAAAGGTGGTATTAGCAAATCAAGAGCTATGATGTTTGAAAAACCTCCTTCAAAATTCAATTCTAGACATGTAACTTTACCCGTATCTCATTCCAGGAAGACCCTTTCTAAAGATATAAACACAATTGTCGAACATCCCGACGTATCTCAAGATTTTTCCAATGACACCTTCGATGACTCTGTAAATATATCCATGGAAACTGACATATTCAGAACTATTTCAAATGACAACAAGCAGGATAGCGAAATATTCTACGATGCACAATAACTTTACAGAACAATAAACAAATGTTACAAATACAAAGCACGAGTAACTTCATATATCACCTACATACATATAAATAAACTAGCATAATTTTAATGACAGTAAACAACTTCTGACCTCCAATAGCTCGGGTATTTAGTAAACCTTCACTTATTAGAGTCATCTCTCCTTCTGTTAACTTTATTGACTTCTTATAATTGTTGTGCGGAGCATTCTTTTAATAAAACTCGGAACATTTTCCAGTATTGCAGCCTCAGCGCGAACATTTTTCCTTTTTTCAGATTACTGAAATTTTGACTCTTTCCGATTCTCAATATTTCATTATTATTATTCTTATTATTATCCTGATTCATCTAATTAATGGTAATGATCATAGATATAATGCAATAAAAGATTTAATTCCATCAAGAATATAAGTTGCCAATTATTATAAATACTTTACGAATTGAGAAAGTTTTACGTTTTTTCTATCTTTAGTTTGTATCATAACACACCGAAAATATTAACTGTGCGTTTTATATCTCGAAGAAGTTTCTGTTCTGTTTTCCATTACAAAAGTTAAAGTTCATTATCTAATTATTCATTAACGAAATAGACTAATTTAATAGAAAATTACATACAGATATATTATAAGAAATATGGATTCAAGAACTGTGGGAATTTTAGGCGGGGGTCAGCTAGGTCGTATGCTAGTTGAAGCTGCGAACAGACTTAACATCAAGACTGTGATACTTGATGCCCCAAACTCACCGGCAAAACAAATTAGTAATTCAACTGAACATATTGATGGATCGTTTACCAATGCAAACGATATTAAAGAACTTGCTAAGAAATGTGATGTTTTAACAATCGAGATCGAACATATCGATGTGGAAACCCTTAAAGAGTTAAGAGTTATAAACCCTAATTTAAGTATTTATCCATCTCCTGAAACCATAGAAATAATTCAAGATAAATATATTCAAAAGGAACATCTAATAAAAAATGGTTTGAAAGTTGCTACTAGTCAAGCTATTGAAACCCCTAATGTGGACTCATTGATAAAAATTGGTGAAGAATATGGTTATCCATTTGTCTTAAAATCTAGAAAATTTGCTTATGATGGTAGAGGTAACTTTATTGTTAAAGATAAAGATTCCATACCAACTGCTTTAGAGGCTCTAAAGGATCGTACTTTGTACGCTGAAAAATGGGCTCCTTTTGTTAAGGAATTTGCAGTCATGATTGTCCGTACTATCGATGGTCGTGTCTTCTCATATCCTGTTGTAGAGACTATTCACCAAAATAGTATTTGTCATTTGTGCTACGCTCCAGCTAGGGTTCCTGACTCAGTGCAGTTGAAAGCAAAATTAATGGCAGAAAATACTATAAAATCTTTCCCATCCTGTGGTATCTTTGGCGTCGAAATGTTTTATTTGGAGAATGGTGAAATATTAATAAACGAAGTTGCTCCAAGACCACATAATTCCGGTCATTTCAGTATCGATGCATGTATCACATCTCAATTTGAAGCTCACATTAGAGCTATTCTTGATTTACCAATTCCAAAAAACTTTGGCAGTCTAACAACTACTAACACAAATGCTATCATGTTAAATGTTCTTGGTGCTCCTGATAAAAATGGTGAATTGAAAACATGCGAACGGGCCTTAGCTACACCTGGTGCATCAGTATATCTGTATGGTAAAGAATCTCGTCCAAATAGAAAAGTCGGTCATATCAATATTATATCATCGTCGATGACTGAATGTGAAAGAAAATTACAATATATAATGGGTAATACCAACGAACAATTTAAAGTTTCAGTTGCAGATAGGATATTGCAACATTCAAAAAAGACTCCATTAGTTGGTATTATCATGGGCTCTGATTCGGATTTACCTGTCATGTCTGCGGCATGTAGAATTTTAGAACAATTTGAGGTCCCTTTTGAAGTTACTATTGTATCTGCCCATAGAACACCACATAGAATGAGTGCGTATGCTATTGAAGCCTCCCAGCGTGGTATTAAGACTATTATTGCAGGTGCTGGTGGTGCAGCCCATTTACCAGGTATGGTTGCAGCAATGACTGCTCTTCCAGTCATAGGTGTTCCTGTAAAAGGGTCAACTTTGGATGGTGTTGATTCCCTTCATTCAATTGTCCAGATGCCTAGAGGTGTACCTGTTGCAACAGTTGCTATCAATAACAGTACAAACGCAGCCTTGCTAGCGATCAGAATGTTAGGTATTTATGATTCAACATATTTGACAAAGATGCAAGAATTTTTGTTAAGACAAGAGGAAGAAGTTCTAGAAAAAGCTGCAAGACTAGAGGATATTGGATATGATAGTTATCTTAATTCCAAATAACTAATTTCAATATAAATATTTGAATGTATACTTTAACGTAAGTATACTAAAACCTAAGAAGATTTAGTTTTTTTTTCATTTCTTTTCATTTGATTATTTATAATGCAAATATTATGTATTTAATAAATATGCTAAAACAGAATTTATTAGTTAATAAAAAAGTTGTTTATAATGTTCCAAGATGAAACCAATTATATAATTACGTTCTTTCATGTCCAATATATCCTTTTCTCCACTCAGATCTCTTATCAAACCTGGTGCAAAAACTAGTGCTATATTATTCAGACCCATTAAATTATAATCCTTATATCCCATTACCTTTTCTAAATGAACACTCAAAACTTTCAATAAATATATATGTTCCTTTGGCAATTGATTTAGAATATCAGTGACAGAAGCTATATCTTCTTGTGTCAGGATTTTGTCCTTTCCTAAGGGTAACCTTGTGGTCATATTTCTTGTTCTAACAACACTAATTAGTGGATCATAGATCTGAAAGGTAATTATAGGGTCAGGAAGCTTCCTTAAATACCTCTTTAATATACTTGTTGAGACATTGATATCATAATCTGCTAAATTGAAATCTTCCTTTTTAGAAAACTTCTTTTCCAAATTTTCTATAACTGCTTGGGATCCAGATTTCCTATACAGGCCTTCACTACGTAGGTTTTCTTCATCACATTCGATATTTTCTATGCAACGTATCATGATATTTGGAATTTGCGAACGCTCATATTGACAGCGCTGAACTAAGGTAGAGCCATACAAATTTGATCCATCCTCTTTTATTTCAGAGAACATACTTTGAGTGGAACCTGATTTGTTCATTTTTGAATTTGAAAATGGTGATAATTTATCAATGTGGATCCCTGGAAAATCATTTTCATCATCTCGTCCATTAATTCCAAGGTTAGAAATACCTCTGGATGAAGATGACTTTGTCATTAAATTTGGTTTTTGTGGTGAGTTTGAGGAAGAGAATAACTTCCAAAATTTCGGTTTGGCTTGTCTAGCCACACTAGCCACATGTTCTTGTTCTTTAGATGGTGAAATAGAATCGAACATATTAACCATTGGCATTTCTGGAGGAGGTCTAATGCGATTACGTTTAATTTCTGATGATGTATTTCTCAAATCTTGTACAGGAGGTTTTTCTGCCTGTAACTCCCGTACTTCCTCTAGTAGCTTTACCTTTTTCTGTTCAATCGATGAAACTTCATCTAGCAATTTTTGTTTAATGTCCTTTAATGTTTTAATATCATTTTCTAATTCATCTAATTCTTGTTTGGATGCACCGATTTTACGTTCCATTTCTTCTTCATTGTATTCTTCTATATCAGTATTAAGAAAATCCCTTCTCAGATTAGTACTTGAATTTGAAAAATCTAATGCAGGAGTTTTATACATCCGAAAGGCTTCAATACCTGCTGTCGGTTTTGGTGGTTTTTCAAACCTGTCCCTTGAGTCAACAGACACTGGAGAATTTGTACTCTTTATTTCTTTTAATTGTGGGTCAAAAGAGGGTTTATTCTTATTCTGAGTGTCGTGGGGCGTAATTTCCGTATCTGGAGCTGTGTTAGAAGACATAGATGCTGAGGTGATACCGAGGCCTCCGTAACTTTCTGATGTAGTCGAGCTTGGTTTATTTAATGCTTCCGCATATAGTCCACCTTTGTAACCGCTCGAACTAGCATTACTACTAGTACGTACATTAAACTCGGAATCCAATAGAAGTGGAGATGCATCTTGCATTGCTTGTGGGATAATATTATCAATAATACCTTCATTTTCCAAATTTTCCAATGGTTCTAATGATAAATTATCTATACTAGAATCTTCAACATCATCATTATTATGTTCAGAAGTTTGATTTTCATACCCCTCACGTGCAAGAGTAGATTTCAACATATCATCAATAGACACATTTCTTTTATGAGAATTGGAATTGTTTGAATTTGATCCTTTTCTTTCAGGAGAAATTGGTCTATTTCTTGAACGTTCTGGAACTTTCAATTCCTTAGGTGAACTTAAGTCATCATCCTCTTGTAGTTCTTTGGGTATTGTTGGTAAATGTTTAGTCAACCGTCTTTTCTTTTCTTCATAATATTTTCTTTTGGCCAGGAGTCGCTCATGACAAGACAAACAAAATAATCCTCTTTTGGTCTTAGCATATCTTAGATCTTTGATCTTATCACCACATTTACAACATTTAAAACAACCAGAACAGTATGCTTCATTTGACGATGATAAAATAATCGCTAAATCATCAATTTTTTTACCACAGCTTTTACATGAATCGGAACAATCAAAACAGATTAATGTTCCTGTTCCTAAAACTAAGAAATCGGATTCACAACTTAGTGGTTTATTACATCTATAACAGGAAAAACAGTGTGTATGCCATTTATCGTCACCTAATTCATAAGCATGACCAGTAGTAATATCCTCTTTACAACGAACACATGTAGGTAACTCTTCATCATGAGGAAGGTTAATAGAAGATGTTAGAGTGGAATCGAGAATAGATGTCATTATCAAATATTGGGGTTAATGTGATAGTCACACAGAGTTCGATAGTTCGAAAATAGATATATATGTCGTTATATTTTCGTTTCAATTTTTTGACTGTGATAATGAAAAATCTATATTTAACTTAGGTTTCTTTTCCGAATGATATTGAAATAAGTAGATATGAATCAAACCCAAATTAAATTAAGAAAAGGTGTAGTATAGGATCTATGCTTCTTAGTTTACGTTAAATGAGTCTATTTGAAAAAGGGATAGATGATATTTTGTAAATTTTTTAAAGGTAGATCGAGATAAATTTGAACTTTCATGATGCTCGCCTATAGAGATAGAGAGAAACCTATTCAGTTCACAGCAAAAATTAATAATAGTAACCGCACCAAATTTATTTATTATATAATTTCCAAATACGGAAAAACTTGAAAGTTCGTATCGTGTGCGCCTAGATTCTGTGAATTGACATTTTTTTTTTTGAGCCAGGCTTTTCTCTGTTATTGAATTTTTCACTAGGAACGAGTCGAGAAAGTTTCATTGCGGAGGGCGAAATAGTAATATCTACGTAAAGGGTGCGAGACCCGAATGTAGTGCAATAACATTGAGTATACCCATTTGAATACACCTTATATTACGAAGTGATGCGTAGATCAATCTGGAGTCACACGCGCATATATATATATATATATACATGTGATAATTGGATATTCGATATTTTAATGAAACAGTAATAAAGATGTTAAAAATTCGTCTTATTTCCAAAAAGATAACTCATCCGATCTGAAGTATCAAAAAAGTAATGTCAAAATATCAAAAATTTCTATTATTCGGTGATTCTATTACTGAATTTGCTTATACCACTCAACCATTCTCACTTGGTGGTGCATTATCTGCCGCATATACCAGGAAGTTAGACATTTTGCACAGAGGATATTCAGGATACACCAGCAGATGGGGTATTAAAATACTTGAGGACATTTTGGAAGAACATGAGGATAATGATATTGCTATCGCAACTATTTATTTTGGAGCCAATGACTCTTGTTTGGGAGGTCCCCAAGTAGTTCCTTTGAATGAATATATTGAGAATATGAAATTGCTTATCTATATGTTAAGGAAACACAATATAAAACCTATATTTATTGGTTTAGCATTATTCAATCGTGAATTATGGGAGACAATTAAAGTAGAAGAAATCAAATTGGGTCATATTAGAACTGTAGATAATTTACAAGTGTACAATAATAGTTTGAAGCAATTAGCAAAAACGGAAAATGTGCCATTTGTTGACTTACACAAAGCCTTTACTGAAATCGGTGGAGAATCTTGGAAGGACCTACTATTGGATGGTTTGCACTTTAGTAGTAAAGGTTATGAGATTTGGTATAATGAATTATTAGCCGCCATTAAAGAAAACTATCCCGAATACTACCCAGATAATATGAAAACAATGTATCCTCTGTGGAGGGACGTAAAAGCAGATGGTTCAAATATCTAAGATATATATATAATGTAGTTAGTCTTAATAAATATCTAATAACCTAATTATTGTTATTTCGAAATAAAGCTTTATTGAAAACTGATTTCACTCTTCATATTAAATACATAGTTACTTTCTGCGGAGTCGGAAAAGCCTGCAAAAACAACGTTGATTTTAGACCTTTTTACCAAGAACAATAATCATGCTTTTCTTTTGTATATTAAGGATAGAGAAGGTTAGTATCATACGTTATATACGATCAAGCCACTTATCAAATATAACGTATATAGGAAACGCAACATCACTAATGACTACAGTACCGACCGGCGACCCTCAGGATGCCATTACAACAATTAAAAATGATGGAGATATTGTTGTATCAGATAATAAACTTCCAACGAATATGACTGATGCTGGTCCTGATACCTTTCGTGGTAAAGTGAAAAAAATGGCTAACGATGCTATGGCTAATAATCCATATTTTGCCGCAGGTGGTGGGCTGATGCTGCTTGGTTCTGGTTTGGCCATCGCACGATCAGGTTTTCTCAAATTAAGTAGAGTACTTTATACACAAATGATTGTTGATTTAGAGATTCAATCGAAGGATAAATCGTATGCATGGTTCCTGACATGGATGGGAAGATACCCTAAACGAATCTCCAAACATCTCTCTGTAAATACAAACTATATCCAGCACGATAATGGTGCAATTACTACTAAATTTTCTTTAGTTCCAGGTCCTGGAAATCATTGGATCAGATATAAAGGTGCATTCATATTGATTAAAAGAGAAAGGTCAGGTAGAATGATAGATATTGTAAATAGTTCACCATATGAGACTGTAACCCTAACTACCTTATATAGAGATAGACATCTTTTCGATGATATCTTAAACGAGGCTAAAAATATTGCATTAAAAACAAACGAAGGTAAAACAGTCATATATACATCATTTGGACCTGAGTGGAGAAAATTCGGTCAACCAAAGGCTAAGAGAGCTTTACAATCTGTTGTTCTAGATGAAGGTATCAAAGAAAAAATTGTTAGTGATGTGAATGAATTTATGCATAATGGTAAATGGTATTCTGATAGAGGTATTCCATATAGAAGAGGTTATTTATTATATGGTCCACCAGGATCAGGTAAGACTAGTTTTATTCAAGCATTAGCAGGGGAGTTAAATTATAATATTTGTATCTTAAACCTATCTGAAAACAATTTAACTGATGATAGATTGAATCACCTAATGAATAACATGCCAGAAAGAAGTATATTACTATTAGAAGATATCGACGCTGCATTCAATAAGAGAAATCAAACTGATGAAAATGGCTTCCATTCCAATGTTACATTTAGTGGGTTATTGAATGCGTTAGATGGTGTAACTTCTTCTGAAGAAACTATTACATTTATGACAACAAACCATCCAGAGAAACTAGATGCTGCAATAATGCGTCCAGGTAGAATTGATTTTAAGGTCTATGTAGGCAATGCTTCATTATTCCAAGTTAGACATATGTTCTTAAAATTCTATCCTGGTGAGCATGAACTCTGTGAGCAATTCCTGTCCAGATTTGAAAAACTCAAGATATCGGTAAGTACTGCTCAATTGCAAGGATTATTTATTATAAATAAGGATAAGCCTATAGATGCTGTTGAAATGATAAATACATTATCTGCCTCAAGTACAATAACTCAACCCCATCAACACATCCTGTAAATAACAAAATATGTAAATATATAAAATAGTATTATTCTAAAGTATAACAAACAAATTAATCAACAGTGTCGTGTCACCTACCGCATGTATTCCGATAATAGTCTATTTCTTCCTTCTAATGCCATTAAAGAACATGAACTTAGGAATACTCTACAAGTATATAATTTTGGGTAAGAAGCCCTTAATTATGCATGACAAAAAAAAAAAAAATAAACGAATAACTCGCGCAGCAAGGAGAAATAAAGGTGCAGAATAATAATATCTAAATAATTAGAAACCTTCACTTAATAAGAAGTGAGAGTTCTCGAAGGACTATTATTTTTAAGAATTTGAATAACTATTACAAATTGAAAGTATATCAACTTTTTGGTGAACAAGAGTGTGCGGTAGTTACAATTATATCAATCTTTTAGATTAAATTGAAATGTACAAGAGAAGTGCCTTATCAAATGTGTCCAGAGCTAAACCCTTTTCGGTATTATCTCCTTTGAGAGCCAAATCATCACCTATTGTGGAAGAAAATACGACTACCAAATCGAAATTTGAGCAATTATCTCCAGCACAAAAGGCTTACCTAGATAGAGTGATCAGAGTGGATCAAGCGGGAGAATTAGGTGCAGATTATATCTACAGAGGTCAAATATACGTCCTGAGTCATAAACATCCACATCTAAGACCAATTTTAGATCATATGTGGAAACAGGAAGTTCATCATCGTAGCACTTTCAATAACTTACAATTGAAACACAGAACTAGACCTTCTTTGATTACTCCATTATGGAAACTAGGTGCTACTGCCATGGGAGTTGTCCCAGCATTGTTATCTCCAGAGGCAGCAATGGCTTGCACAGAAGCTGTAGAGACTGTTATTGGTAATCATTACAATGAGCAATTACGTTGTTTAGCTAATCAATTCAATGTTTCTAAGATAGATGGTTCTAAAGATGAACCAGAAGAAATTAAAAAACTGACTGATACAATTAAGGAATTCAGAGACCAAGAATTAGAACATCTGGATACTGCCATTAAGAACGACTCGCACATGGCTGTTCCTTACAAATTATTAACTGAAGGAATTAAAACCGTATGTAAAGCGGCAATTTGGACCGCAGAAAGAGTCTAATTTAGAACACACTCTTTTTCGATTTATTGTATACAGGTTTATGCAATGTCGAAATATATAAATACAACGAATACATATTATGTAAATAAGGTTCTGGATTAACAATTTGCTAGAATATCTCAATAATTAAACAAAAAGTGAATAATTAAATAACAATACCATGCTAGTACAGATTTCGGACTTTAATTTTTAATTAATCTTTATATCTTAAAGTTATAAGTTACATTTCCTTAGTTCTAGTAATAACTAGGTATATTCGCTGCCTGCGTATTTATCTCTTAGTTAAGAATTATGCCCTCCCTCAAAAAAATAAATTAAAATTAAAATTAAGAACCAACTATAATGATCTAATTACAAAAAAAAAAGAAGGATTACATAAATAAGATCTATAGTATACTGGATAATCCACATATAATTGACCAAGGATCTAGTACCGGTTGTATTGGTTTTTCAAATTGTATATTGATTAGAAAATTTTGTTTGATATTAGCAATGGAACAAACAGATACTATAAATGAAAATAACGCCACTGAAAATGATAATACGTATAATAGCAATGCAACAATGAAAGCAAGTCCAAGTAAAGAATATTCAGGTAGTCTAATAGAAGATACTTCTGGTACGAAGTCTCAAAAAGATACTACTTACGATTCAACTATGAAGGGAGTTAATGAGAAGGATCATGATTTATCTGATGATGGTAAAAGCCTACTCTATGCACACGCCTCGAGTAACTTTCCCATGAAAACAATAGATAGATTAGTCGACGATATAATTTGTGATATTTCTTATATTACTGATTTTAATACCACTAATAGTGACCCTATTGGCAATTCTCGAGGCCTCTTAAGAATTTCTCCTTTATTATATTCACATAAACGACAAAATATGGATAGCTATGCTGTCGGTAGTTTTGTTGATCAAATATCTTTGCAAACAAAATATGAATTCAAATCTGTTACATGCCCTGAATATAATAAAATCAATGTATACTATGGTATTTTAGTCAACCCAAACCTTTCATTAAAGGATCAGGATCAAGTTATAGATGTTCCATTCTACCATTTAAAGATATCTGTTAAGACTCGACCATACTTGGAGACTAGAATGAAACAAGTAGGCGTTACACATTATCATCTAATTGATAATTTACATGAATTCGATGAACCAGATTTTCCGGAATTTGATAAAAAACACCCAGCATTGATAGACCATGCAATTTATGTATCCAATGATACCAATAGAATAATCCTTATCGAAATATTTGAATCAGAATTCCTGTCCCCAGAAGATACAGCAAGTTTTAAAAAGGAAAATATAATGTTACGTTATCAGGAGGCCCAAAATCGATTAGGAACATTACTCTCCGATACTATAGTCTCTCCAGCAGATTGTTTTAATACTATGTTTAAAATATTTAGAGGTCCATTAAATCGTCGAAATCCTGAGGATCCTATAAGGACTATTGATAGGGATAACATATCACTGAACACTCATATTAATCCAGAGTGGCTGGTGTCGAAGTATAATTTTGTACTAAATGAACAAAAAGATGAAAATACAGGTGAAATTTCAAGAGAATACGAGCCTCCTGAACTTTCTACATACATGGATGATCCAAAGGTGAGGTTACTTAGAGATACGTACATAAGGAGATGCATGGAACTTGCATTTAGGGGCCAACTTGCAATTAAAGTAGCGAGGAAAGATGAATTGGAAGCAAATACCAAAACACGTAATGCCCTTAATTCGTTGCATACCCAATTCTCGATATCTCCATTATACCAAGTTAGTGGCGAATCTAATTCACTAAGATTTCTAAACTCTGAATCTCATAGTCCCCTCGATATTAATTTCCATTTCATTAATTTATCAATCAAAGGCTATTATAGTGATAGAGATATAATTAGGAATTATGAAACTCTGATCTCATTAGATCATGAAAATATCGGTATTTATTATGACGCCCTTGCATATATTTCCAACGCTAAGGGCGCATATCAGTTGGTGGCATACTGTGGGAAACAGAATATTGTTGGTAAAGAGGCATTAGATACTGCATTAAGGATATTCAAAATAGATCCTACCGAGACTAATATTGCTGATATGGATGAGAAGCTTCTACTGTCTATTTATAAACACGAAACACATAATGGGGATGTTAGTTCACACATCGATCTGAAAAATGCTGCTCGGATATTAGCAAAGTATAAACAATCGGATCTACTAAAGTTTTATGTGGATTACGAACCTTATACAGTGATTGAACAAGCGTACAGGACTCTTGAAATAGATGAATCGGTAGACGATGATATTGTACAGACTGCTTATTCAATTAAAATCAACGATGCCCCGGGCCTTATGATTGATTGTAATCGGGCCTTATATACAATTGCTATTCACAAAAGGAGTATGTCATTATTAAATTTCTTAGTATGTCAATGCCCGCTTTTTGAGGAATTTTATAGTCCCGAAAAGTACTCTTATCAAGATGCTCTAAATTTGCTTCAAGTTAACGAGAATGCAAATGACGAAGTAATTTTGAATGTATTCCAACAACGTTGGAACAATGAATCGATTACTGAACCAGATAGACTGTTAAATCTGAAGGCTGCCTTGACTAAGCTTGGTATTGAGAAAAGATCTAAGTTGATCGATCATTTCTTAAAGACAGGAACTATTGATCCGAACTGCCTTCCACCAGAAAATTGGCCTACTGGTTTAAATAATATAGGTAATACATGTTATTTGAATTCTTTATTGCAGTATTATTTTAGTATTGCCCCCTTACGAGAATATATTCTAGGTTATCAGAATACTATTCAAGATTTTGAGTCCAACACCAACATTTTAAAGAAGAAAAGAAGAATTGGTGGTAGAGAAGTTAGCGATAATGAAGTCGAGAGATCTATCCAATTTACATATCAGCTTAGAGATTTGTTTCGGAGCATGATTTACAGTAAATCAAGATGCGTAACACCTACTCATGAACTAGCATATTTAGCATTTGCTCCAAGTAATGTTGAGGTTGAATTTGAGATTACTAGTACTTCAGTTGATGATCAAATTAGGAATAAAGATGAAGGTTGCGATACAAAAGTCTTTTCAAACTCCATTTCTCCATCAGAAGAAGATGTTAGCGGTATTGTACAGTCAAATGATGAGTTATCAAATCTAATTGAAATAAATGATACAGATTATGATATGTTACAAGAAGAAAAACAAAAGAAAATCGAAATAAAAAGTGATATCGCTAGTTCCAATAAAGTTGCGAAAATTAGTTTTGATCAACTGGAAAATGCACTAGAAATGGGCAGACAACAGGATGTGACTGAATGTATTGGTAATGTACTATACCAACTAGAAAGTGCATCTGAACCTATTAGTTTAGATGATGAATTCGAACAGTACGATTTGATTAAGAATCTATTTTATGGGAAAACAAAACAGGAAATCAAACCAATTAATGATTCAATGAGGATACGTGCTAAATATGAACGTTTTCTTTCACTACTGGTAAATGTTAGTGATCATCCAAGAGATATTTATGATGCATTAGACTCATCATTTCAAGATGAATTTTTAAATATGGATGAATACGGTGATGTCAAGAGAACAGTATCTATAACTTCACTTCCAACTATATTACAAGTCCAAATCCAAAGAGTGTATTATGACAGAGAAAGATTTATGCCTTTTAAGTCTATTGATCCAGTCAGATTTACCGATAAGCTTTTCATGGACAGATATGTAGAATCTGATAATGAAGAACTTCTTAATAAAAAGATAGAAACCACGAAGATGAAAGAACAATTGAGAAGCTTAAAAGAAAGACAAAAAGAACTACTAAAAAGAAACGAATCTGGTCTCTCCAGGAAGGAAGCCTTTATGGAAACAATTAAATTTTTGAAGTCAGATAGTTTAGAACAACAGGGAATCGAAGTTAAAGAAAAAGAAGAATTAGAAGTTAATTTAAACAATCTCATTGTTAATATGAACAATGAATTGAGTTCGATTTATAATGAGATAAACATACTAGAAAATAAAATTACGCATCAGTTTGACGCTTTTCAGGATGTCGAATATACATTATTTGCTGTGTTTATTCATAGAGGAGAGGCAAGCTACGGGCATTACTGGATTTATATAAAGGATCCAAATGATACTGGGATATGGAGAAAGTATAATGATGAGACAGTAACTGAAGTGAGTGAATCAGAAGTGTTTAATTTCACTGAAGGTAATACTGCTACTCCATACTTTTTAGTATTCGTTAAGGAAGAGGATAAGAAAGGCATAGAACCCCTGAAGAGAATTCTAGAGGTCCCTGAAATAGAAAAACTTGACTAATTAGTAACTTTACATACTTATAATTATATACATTAATTGCATTAGTGACCTATTTGTCTGATATTTAATTTGCAGTTATAAATATAACGTATACATCTTTTTCACTTAGATCATATTTGTATTGTGCTTTTGCAGAATATCATAATTAACGACGCCAAACTAATTTACCGATTATAAAAAATTCCAGGGAAATTGTGAGCCCCAATAATTTGTAAGGGAGAAAACAAATAAACAGAAAGAGAAGCAGCGAGAACGATACAACGGGGACTAAATATGCACATTGACGGCAACTGCAAAAGAAAAGTGAAAGCAAACAAAATGAAGCTCAGAGGTACCTGGCATAAGCTGAACCTAAATCATTTGGAATAAGTCAATTAAATATTTTTTAAAGGAATTAAGTAATAAATATAACCATTAAGTAATATCAATTGAGTTATTTTACTTTTCGTTGATAGCCCTCTCTTTTTATTTTTAAATTTATCAAAACCAAAGAGATACAAATATTACTATAAATATACAATATGTCGACATTACAACGTCGTAGAGTAAATAGAGCAGGTTCAGACAGTAGTGGGACCGAATTATCACCTGTTGTTACAGCTGAACAGCTTGCTGATAACGTAAAAAATAACGCTTCCAATGCAGAAGGAAATAAATATAAAGGTCAAGATGCTGACGATGACGACGATAGCTTCACCGTTGGTAAAAGAGTTGCGTATGATCCAGAAGAGGCTAAGTTACAAGGTGATTATTCTATACCTAAATTAACCTTAATGGAAGAAGTGTTACTTATGGGTTTGAAGGATAGAGAAGGTCATTTATCATTCTGGAATGATAATATATCGTATGCCCTACGTGGTTGTATATTAATAGAATTAGCCCTCAGAGGTAAAATTAGAATGCTAGATGATTCTGCTAGAAAGAGATTTGATGTATCCGAGAGACTGGTAGAAGTTATAGATGGATCTAAAACAGGGGAAGTATTATTAGATGAAACATTACAATTGATGAAAAATGACGAACCTTTGACTGTGGCTAATTGGATTGATCTATTGAGTGGTGAAACATGGAACCTTATGAAAATCAACTATCAACTAAAACAAGTAAGAGAAAGATTAGCTAAAGGTTTAGTAGATAAAGGTGTTCTCAGAACAGAGATGAAAAACTTTTTCCTATTTGATATGGCTACACACCCAGTGGCAGACTCTACTTGTAAAGAAGCTATTAAACGTAGAATACTCTCAGTACTCGTCTCAAGAAATATGGAATTGGAATACAATGATTTTTTCCCCAAAACCACTTCATTCGCTCTAATCAGAACTGTTGCATTGATATGTAGTGCATATGGTGCTAATGTTTTAGAAAATGTTTTAGCCTCTTTAGATTTTGATAAGCGTGATAGAGCTATTGGGAGATCCGATGAAATTCTTGCTCAATTTGCTCAATATCCTTTTAAACTTGATGCAGAATCGGAATACGGTATCTCTATTAATCTTAATAGAGAAGTGACCGATGAGATTGAAGATTTATCCGGTCACGATTTACAATTGGAGGTGGTAGCAGGTGTCATTGAAGTATTTTCAAGAATGGATTTATTGTTGTAGACTCCGAACAAATATGTAGTTATGGGTTTATTTATAAGAATATGACTTTAAAATGGTTTCTTTTCTATCTTTTCTAATCAGGTAGCTGCATTATTTAATTATTAGTATGCGAAACAGAACTCCTAGGCATGAGGACATGCATACACACATATATAGACTTATTCATCAAAATATATCATAATGTCTACAAATTTAGAATCGTACTGATGTGTATCTAAAATTTGATGCAAACGAATAACAAGTGAATTCGCCATATCATCTGAATTTATCGATCTAACTCAAGTTAGAAATTATTTATTTACTAACCTTCAAGTAATCTTTTGAATGTTTATTTAGACCAAAAACAAACAATCTGGATTGTACAACGTATCACCAACAACAGTAAACACACATATATATACATAATTAAATAAATGTCCTTAGAGTCGTATATACATCTTATTACATCATTTGACTTCCTGAGGGTAACATCTGAAAACTTGATTGATTGCCCGCTTTGTTGTTATGTTTCGCCATTTTCAAAAGCCTCTCCTCCAGCGTGAAGTAAATTTTGAAAAATTAATTTAACAGCAGAATAAGGCATATTGAAAATTCGGAAGCATATTATAATATAAAGTTAAAAATTAAGATTCAATAATAATAGAAGATTTGTTATTCCTTTGCTATTTATTCTACCAATTAATAAAGTTTAGTTGATCCAAAATTGTAAACATACACGATAATTGTTTAATCAAGATGTCAAACTCCTTGCCAATTGATCAAGAACATGATGAATCTGTCAAAGATTCTACCCAAGATAAAATAACCGAATCAACTACCGTCGAAGAATCAAAGAGCCCTGAGAATGAAGAAATGGATGATTTGTTCGGTGATGAAGAAGAAGAAGATGACGACATTATTACAAATCGCCGTTCTAGGAAAGGGGTAAGTGATGATGAAGAGCAAGATGAAGAAAATGAAAATAATGATAATTATGGTCGTGCTCGCTCCCATGACGATAATATGGATGAGGAAGAGGCAATGTATACCAGAAAGTTCTATGGTGAGGATGTAGACAATTATTCGGCAGATGAAGATGGAGACCACGTTTTTAAGGAAGAAGATGTTGAACTTGTACGTCATATGGTTCCTTACACTACAAATTCGCATACTGAAGAAACTTCAGGACCTGAAGAAGACAAACATATTTACTATGCTAAAGTCCCACAATTCCTGACAATTGACCCTGTTCCATTTGATCCACCAAGCTTTGAAGATATGGTTACAAAGAGACTGTCCCAAGATGCAACAGAAGAAGATAAAATTGGTGATCATTTAGTAGATGAAAATACTATAAGATGGAGATATTCTCGTGATGAAAACCAAAGAGTGTTTAAGGAATCTAATGCCAGGATAGTAAAATGGTCCGATGGATCGTACTCTTTGAAATTAGGATCAGAATATACTGATATATTAGTAAATGATACAGACAACACATTCCTGACTGTATCTCATGATAAACAAGAATTAATGCAGTGTGTTAATGGTGGTGAGATTAATAAGACAATAATGTTTATTCCAACTTCTACAAATTCCAAGATTCATCAAAGATTAAGTAAAGCTGTTGCAAGAAGAAATAAAATAGAACATGATGGTCCAGGTACTTTCTTAATTCAAGTAGATCCAGAAATTGAAAAGAAAGAGCTTGAGACAAAACAACAGCAAATTTTCAGAGAAAGAAGAAGAAGACAAATTAGAGAAAACGAGCTTCTTGATGCCGGTGAGGCTACTCCAGATTCATTTGGTAGACGTTCTACACCGAAATCTTCTACTGCCGTACCTTCAAGAAGGGGATACCAAGATGAATATGAGGAAGATGATTTCTTAGTTGATGATGATGAAGATGAAAATGAATACCAAGAAGAAGACGACGAAGAAGAAGACGAAAGAGATATACTTGATGCATCAGAAGAAGAGGAAGATGAAGAGGAAGAGAGAAGAAGAGCTGAAAGATTAAAAAACATGAAAAGGAGTGAAGCTACGTTCACGGAAGATGACTCTGGTAGTGCAACCTCAGGAGATATTAGGAAAAAAAGAAGGGCAGCTGTTATTAGCGATGATGATGACGATGAATAGTGTAATCCAATTGATGTATGGAAATATGAACTTCCTTATTGTATTTCTAATGTAATGTAATAAATAAATATAAGAACGAATGCCTTTTCTTTTTTTGAAAATCTGTAATATTGATCATGATAAATAACTAAGGATGATAAAACTTGTAACATTTCTTGAGTAGGTAACGTAATTCGATAAATTTTAATTTCGTTTATAATTGTTGTCATTGAATTGAGATATTTTCTTAAAATGGTCGTTACCCTACATCACTATATACGCTTACCATATATTATGTATGTAGAATACATAACGCGAACGACGAGATATTCACCCTATAAATAAATCTGACTGCCTATTGAAATTCTTAAATGGTACTCCTTATTTGTCAGTAATATTGGAATCAACCAATATAATACGAATTGAATTAGATTTAGGTTTTCTTTAGATCTACTCACGAAATCAAATCGACTTATTCTGAAATTGCAATTACCACAAGATGTCTTGGCAAGGTATGTGCTAAAAGAGATAATTATAGTTTTAAATATACAGAATTAAAATACCAAAAGTAGGAAGCAATTGATTACCATTTTATGAACTAAACAACCCATGTCATGATTAGGACATATCTTTCCATTATATTGTTTCTCTTTTTTGATATGATTCAAATTTCGAAATATTTTAGCCGTTAATACTAACATATAACATTGCTCTTGAATTGTTTCTCACAATTCCAGTAGTTAATTACAATTGATATATAGCATACACTGACAACCTATTAGCTACCGGTAAGGTCGATAAGGCTGTTATTTACTCTAGAGCTGGTGATGCCGTATGGGCAACTTCCAGCTTAACTCTACAACCAACTGAAATCGCTGAGATCGCTAAAGGTTTCGATGATCCTTCTGGCTTACAAGCCAATGGTTTACATGTCCAAGGTCAAAAATTCATGATGCTAAGAGCTGACGATAGAAGTATTTACGGTAGACATGACGCTGAAGGTGTTATTTGTGTGAGAACCAAACAAACAATTGTTATTGCACATTACCCACCAACTGTTCAAGCAGGTGAAGCAACTAAGATTGTTGAACAATTAGCTGACTACCTGATTAGTGTTCAATACTAGATAATAATTTAGTGCTGGATATTTTTATGATAGGTAGACATAATGAGAAAATTGAGACTAATTAATTATAAGGATGTTTATAATCATATAGGTGAATTTTCATATGCATTTAGATGATCTCAAGTATATATATCCTTTTCTCTATATAGCTCATGAATATAATTATTTGTTTAAAACATGCTTAATCTTATGTTAGCATATTTTCATAATCCTTAAATAGTGTTAAATTTTCTCTCACATCTGGAATATACTTCTGTAACGTTTGTTTAAATATTCGGATTTATATGAATAAAGCGTAGGGGTATCACATTGATCCACCGCTTTGGTGTTGCCCAACTAGGCCCGCCATTTCGAGTAATGCCCTGTCTTCCCCAAGACTTTTTAAGTTAACATGTTGTCTTCTCTTTGCCTCTTTTTCTTCCCATTGGAGCTGTCTTATTTGTTCTTCCAATTCTTTTTCACCCCCACAACCCCAAACCTCAATGTCCTGAATAATAAACCTCAATTCGTAGGTGTTAGTAAGAGTATCCTTTTCTGTCTGTAACATACTTGGATTGACTTTCCCACCATATCCTACATTTCTGAAGGCACCAAACTCTAGAGCATTATCAACTGTCAAAGACACATTTCCTGGTTGATATTTTTCTAATTTGGATTTAATGATCGGTTGTGAGTTACCAATACCTATACCACCACCAACAGTATTGAAAAATACTATATCCGAGGTATTCGCACGACAAATATCCTGTCTAGGGCTTAATTGTATTATTGTTGTATGTTCACCTCCAAAAAATGATTTATTGGTAATTTTCCATGGTTCTTTTATATATACCGCAAATGTTACTTTCCTTTTCCTTTGAAAACATTCTTCTAAATGTTGATCTTCATTTCTTAATTTAGAATAATGTTCTAAAAATTTCTTATATCTGGGATTTTTCGATTTTCCATACTCAGTATCATCTGTAATACGCATACCACTTATCAAAATAATGGTAGGTGCAACCCATTTAAACACTTTTGATTGTAATGATCTCATAGAAAATCCACTCTCCCTTCCGATATAAAGTTTCTGTAATTTTGTAATGTTTATTTCTTTAGGCACAGCAGTTATGATCTGAGCGAAGAGAGCCTTTGTTAACAGTTTAGATTCTTCAATATTGCTTAATGGATGATCACTTTCTATCAGATCTTTCTGGCTATATAACAAATGCTCAACTAAATTTTCTAATCCAATTAAAATATTTGGCGCAATAACCTTGAATACTGTAGCGTATTCTTCATAGGAAATTTCAAAAGTATTATCTCTAGATGAGGATGAAGTAAACGCAAAGGAATTCATTGAGCGAATTATGCATTTCGCTGAATTTTCAAAGGCTCTCCATTCTTCAGATGTAATTTTGTAATCTAATTTGCAGTTATTTGAAGGTGCTATGTACTGGAGTGTCAATAGCCACGTAATGAATTGTAACATAATTTCAGAACTTACTGTTATATCTTCGAAGTTTGTATTATTATAATTATCTAGAACTTCTTGAATTTTATATGATTCGTTCAGTTGCCGCTCACCAACCTCATTATCTTTTTGATTGACCTTTGAAAGGGCAATATATATCAAGGTTATGATATTAAATTTTCTATTGGCGATGTATTTTTTACATCTTGGTGATAAAAGTATGATACTTTTCAAAACACCTCCAAAACTTGTCTCTTCATTAGAATCATTAATTAGTGGGAAATTGTTCAATGTCTTGAATATGGTAAGCACGATATCGGTAAGCAATTGGTTTCCCTGTAGTATATGCAATCTTTCCAGCAGTAATGTTTGTGGATATGTTTGCTTTAAATCTTTCTTTTCATTTAACGATAACCCATATGATAATATTTCACTGGTAGTAAGATGTCGTATAGCTCTTTTCTCAAAATAATCTTCTATCTCTGTATAGTTATGGTACTTATTTTGAATTTTTGTTGCATTTTGTTCATCGTTAGCTGTATTGCTTTCTGTTGTAGAGCTGGTTTGTCCCATCGGGTTCTTATCGAAATTTAGGTTCAGTCTTATGAAGGCTGTTGAATGTGTCTAGTCTACGACAAGTAGATATATATAAATATAAAGATAGGATGCTAGAAACGATTGTAACTTTTGTTGTCCTGTTTCTTATTTGACTGCAAATTGTTGCAGCACTATTTTGTCGGGTGTTAGTAGATGTACTTTTTCAAATACCTATTAAGGTTATAGAGCCGCTTTGATTTGTAACGGAATATAAATTCATTTGAGAAATTAATTAAATTGCAGGATTTATCATTTTACAGAACATTCCGTGGATTATCATTTAAGTTAGACTTTTTAATTTGATTATGTTTTAAGTTTATATATTTATATATATTTATTGAACTTGAGGAAACTTAACCCTCTATGAATCGTTATATATTTTTGACATTTTGTTTATGCGTAGAATGACACAGACTTCGACTTTCTTGCTTGGACTTCACCAATGGCTTCTACAAAATCTTCATGCTTAACAGATGATTGACCATTCCTTAACGCAATCATACCGGCTTCAACGGTGACTGCCTTCAACTGAGCACCATTGAATTCATCTGTGGATCTTGCAAGTTCTTGCCAGTTAATATCATCATCAGTGGTCATCTTTCTAGAATGGATTTGAAGAATTTGAGCTCTGGAATCTTCAGTTGGTAATGGGAACTCTATCTTTCTATCTAATCTACCAGATCTTAATAAAGCAGGATCTAAGACATCAACTCTATTTGTAGCAGCTAATACTTTAACACGATCATCTGAACTGAAACCATCTAATTGATTCAATAATTCTAACATTGTTCTTTGTACTTCTCTATCACCAGATTTTTCAGAATCAAATCTTTTTGTACCTATAGCATCCAATTCATCAATAAAAATAATCGTTGGAGCTTTTTCTTTAGCTAATGCAAATGCATCACGAACTAATTTAGCACCTTCACCGATAAACATTTGAACTAATTGAGGAGCAGCTAATTTTAAAAATGTAGCATTAGTTTGAGCTGCACAAGCACGAGCTAATAATGTTTTACCAGTACCTGGTGGACCATACATTAATGCACCTTTTGGAGCTCTAATACCAAGATCTTTGAATTTATCAGCACGCTGCATTGGTAAAACAATTGCTTCGACCAATTCTTCTATTTGTTTATCTAACCCACCAACATCAGAATATGTTTCAGTTGGTTTTTCATCAACTTCCATCGCTTTCACACGAGAATCAAATTCAGAAGGTAATGTATCTAAAATTAAATAAGAATCTTTGTTTACACCAACTAAATCATTTGGTTTTAATTTATCTGGGTCTACTAAACCAACCATTGGTAAGAAAACAGTTTGTCTTGATGAAGTTTTCACCACGGCAGCTTTCCCTTGAGCTGTATTATCTAAATTAACATTACCACCTTGTGTATTAGATTCATTATTTTCTGTATCATCAACTTCATCCATATCCATAATTTCAACAACATTAGCTACTAAATAAGGTAATTGTTTATTATTTTTAATTTTTTCTTTATTATCTCTTATCTTTTCAACCATAACATTATTTTCATGAGAAAGTCGTTGTAATTCAGATCTAAAGATCCGAATTTCATTATCTAACAATTTTGTTCTAGTTTGTAATTCATGTGTAGATAGATTCAAAATCTCTTGATCCAATTCATCATCGCCAGGTAATGTTTGTGCATCTAATTCTTCTAAAGTAGCCATATTATTTATTCTTTTTTGTTAATTGTTGAATATTTCAAAGAATTCCTATAATTTAAGTGGTTATCTATTATTCACAATATATAATATGGAATCGGGCAGATATTATTCTTTTAATATAAATGATAGATCAATAAATAAATTTATCTGTTATTTCTTTATTATTATTATTATTATTATTATTATTATTATTATTATTATTAT